CCTCCGCTCTGCAGCTGCTGCTGCCCTCCGCTCTGCAGCTGCTGCTGCCCTCCGCTCTGCAGCTGCTGCTGCCCTCCGCTCTGCAGCTGCTGCTGCCCTCCGCCCTGCAGCTGCTGCTGCCCTCCGCTCTGCAGCTGTTGCTGCCCTCCGCTCTGCAGCTGCTGCTGCCCTCCGCTCTGCAGCTGCTGCCTTCCGCTCTGCAGCTGCTGCTGCCCTCCGCCCTGCAGCTCATGCTGCCCTCCGCTCTGCAGCAGTTGCTGCTGCCCCCCACTCTGCAGCTGCTGCTGCCCTCCGCTCTGCAGTTGCTGCTGCCCTCCGCAAGTTCTGAAAGTGTGAACAGTGATACTTGCCTTTGTTTGTTTCTGGCGAGGCTCGTCCGTGTTTTTGCTGTGGGGCATTTGGCCAATCACCTTCTGGCCCACCAACTCCCTTCCCGGTGGGTAGCGAGAGATCAGCTTTCTGAACCTGGTTACCCTGTTCTTGACGAAAACAAGTTCAAGAATCTTGAAGTTGAACGTTTGCCATTCTAGACTCGGGTTTTAATGCGGTTATACACATAGTCCCCTCTGGGCAAGGTCACATCAATTGTAATGGTAAATGAGTGTGGAAGCCAATATAAGAACGGATCGGTCTTGGATCTTACTTTATGAACTGAAGGAACTCTTCTATGCATTTCAGATTGTCGAAGGTATTCAGCAGCGAGTACGTGAGAGGCGTATGGCAAGCCCGCTGGGCCTTGAGATTGTCGCGAATGGCACATCTCTTCATACTAGGACTGTAGGTCCCATTCTAGTAGATGGCTGGGATGGGATGTGTAGGTCCCACGGTCGCCTTCCGTCAACTCCTAGGAGGTCCTCCTCACCTGTCATGGCGACACTAGTCTCGAGTCAAATCTTCGTGCAAATCCAAGCATTTCAAAACCGGGATGTGGACTAGCATCGACTAGCATTACGAGAGAACTCACGAGCGGCGCGCAGAACGAGTCAGCACATTAAAATAAAAACCAAATCTAGTATGGCAGCTTGTTTCAGAAGCATTGCCGTTGTCACCTGTCCGCGTCGTCGAATTCAAGGAGACACGTTCTTCTCGAGCTCTCTCGCGCGAGATTGTTCGGCCCAGCTACTTCAGCTATGTCGTTCACTCCAGAGTGTCGCTTCGTCCAGCACCGTACACCACCTTCCAGTACCGTCCAGCACCCTGGTCGCCGTCCCCTGCAAGTGTCGCTACTACCGCCTCCCCCTCTCCAGAAATGTCTATCGCGGCGATTTGTGACCAGCCATTTCGTCGTCGGGCCGCGTTCGCAGCGATGCTTCAGCCGACGCGGACAATGCACTTGCAGCCGCCACGTTGTTCCATGGACCGGGCCTACCAACGAATCGCGCCCAACGCTGCTTCATGGGGATTAGAGTACCGCCGAAACCTCCACGGTAGTGCGTGCGTTCCGTTCAACTACGCTTCATGGTGGTGCCTTGTTACTACCGTTCCCACCGTTGGTACCACTCAGGTCTCCCGCTGCGTGTTCATGCGCTGGAACCCCATGCTGCGTGTCTCCGTTGCCGCCTCAGCTTGCTTGAGGGGACTTAGTCGCAGGCGAGAGCAGTTGGTTTCACAAGCAGCTGTCCCAGTGACTCCATACATGGAATCAGTGGGGTGAATGAGCTAGCTGCTTGGCGTTGAAGCTGCTTGGATTTTGAACCCGCTTCACACACTACTAGCAAACGTGCCTTCAGCATCACTGCCACTAGCGCACGTGCTTCCCGCAACAGGGCAGCCAGCAAGTTCGCCGGCCAATAAGGAACGTCGCCTAAGCCTGGCCAATTTCCCCTACCAAACGTGAGCTTAACTCGGGCAGGAAAGGAATGCGGTTCTTAAGTTCGAGCAGGGACAAGGAGCACCTGAGAGACGTTTTTGCAGCGTGAAGAAGATATGATGCTGCTGGTAGGCTGCTATTTGGCAGACAGCGGTGGGAGACTGCTATTGAGCCACGAGTTAGTATCTTGAGGCGTATGTGCTGCTGCAGCTGCTGCCTGTTACTGCCTGATGACAGGCTGTTATTTTGAGGCTGCTGTTAGGCAGACGGCGGCCACCATTCTTGAACTACGCATGGCGTTTTCGTCACGGAGTGTGGACAGGAGCTGGGGTGGCGGTGGTGGGATGAGTGGTGCGATGCGGTTGAGAGCTCACGCTGTTCCTTGCTGTAACTTTCTTCCCTGCTCAGCAACGATGCTGCTTCTGCTGCTGCTGTTGCTCCTCCTGCTGCCTGCACACTCACAAGGTATGGATGTGTTATGTGGCGGGTTTGAGGGTGGGCTGATTCGATATGATTCGAGGGTGGATTTGATTGGATTTGAGGGTGGCCTGGATCAAGTAACAGTTTTCTTTGCGTGACCAACCTGTCCTGTTGCTCCCCTCCCAAACTTCTGTGTCCTCCTTATGTGCCACTTTTCTTCTTTGTGTGCAGCTCAGCCCTTCCCTTTTCCCTTCTTCTCCCCTTCCTCCCCCTCCTCAACATCCTCCTCCGCTGGTATCCCCAGCCTCCCCTCCACGCCTCCATCCATCCTCCCGCCTCTAGCTCCCTCCACTTCAGCACCTCTAGCCACGTCAGCAGCACAGCCTTCACAAGGGTCAGGAGGGGGTGTGGGAGTAGGAGCAGGAGGAGGGGGGACTGGGGAGATGACATCAGGAACAGCAGTCAATACACAGGCGCCTCTGTCCCCCCCCTCCTGTGTCAACCACCCAGCAAATTGCACCATCTTTTCCCTCACCAACTAATCTTCCCGTGTCTCAACTGCAGCCCACCACTCTCCCCAATCTCCCCACTGGCTCCATTCCCCTCCCTCTGCCTCCCTCGTCTCCCCCTTTCTCCTTCTCCCTACCTTTCCAGTTCTCCACCTCCTCTGAACCTCCGCCCTCCCTCATGCCCTTCCCTCCCTTATCCTCTCCCCCATCCCTCAATCCCTCTCTTCCCTTTACCCCTTCCTTCTCCCCTTCTCCTCCCACTCTGCCAACATCCTCTTCCCCCTTTCCGCCAAACTCACCCGCTTCCTCCTCCCCTCCCTCTCCCCCACCGCTTTTACAAACTTCATCTCCAGCATCCGTGCCCTTGCCCTCTCCCTCCTCCGCTTCCTCCCCTCCTTCCTCCTCTCCCTCCTCCTCCTCCTCCTCCTCCTCCTCCTCCTCCTCCTCCTCCTCCTCCTCCTCCTCCTCCTCCTCCTCCTCCTCCTCCTCCTCCTCCTCCTCCTCTTCCTCCTCTTCCTCTTCCTCGCAACCTTCCCAGCGCTGCCTGTTCGCAGGCCAGCAGCAGCCGTGTGTGTGCCTCACACAACCAACCCCACCCACTGCAACACCACAGCGCAACCACTCCTCTACTGTTACCGCCACTGCCACAGCTGTTACTCCTGCCCCCGCTGCCGCTGCTCCTGCTGCGTCTGCCCTTACTGCTGCCGCAGGACGTTCATCTCCTGCTGCCGCTACACCCACTGCTGCCGCTACACCCACTGCTGCCGCTACACCCACTGCTGCCGCTACACCCACTGCTGCTGCTACACCCACCGCTGCTGCTACACCCACCGCTGCTGCTACACCCACCGCTGCTGCTACACCCACCGCTGCTGCTACACCCACCGCTGCTGCTGCTCCTGCAGGAACCCCCTCTGCAACTTTTAGACTCGTTAGTGCCAGTAATTCTGTCCCTGCACGCCGCCCTGCTGTCCCTGCCGCTGCTGCTCTTGCCCGCCTGTCAGTGCCTGCTCCGGTTGTTGCCATCCCAGGGCTGCAAGTGTGCCTTGTCACTGGCTTCTTCGGCCCCTGCACTTGCACTCCTGGTAGGCCTACTTTCACGTGTATATTGTAAACGCCCGCCCAACCCCATCTCTTTCTAATTCCAACCCCCCCTTCGTGTGTGTTCCTCCCTGACTGCCTGATTGAATTCCAATCCACTTTACAGCCGATCCAAGCAGACAGCCAGACCCAGACGCACCTCCATCCCCACCAGGCTTCTTGCTTATTCCAAACCGCGCCTTTGTGTGCGTTCCTCCCTTCCTGCCTGATTGAATCTCAATCCACTTTACAGGTGATCCAACCAGGCAGCCAGACCCAGACGCACCTTCATCCCCACCAGCCCCACAAGGCCCACCAGCCCAAAGCTCCAGTGCACCGTCACCAGACCTGATTGCTGCTGCTGCTGCTGGTGCACCGGGCATGAGACCCACACCCTCCTCTCCAAACTCTTCCGCCGGTTCCTCCTCTTCCTCCTCCCCTAGACCACGAGCCCCTGCCTCCCCTGCTTCTGCTTCAAGCCCTTCTGACCAATCAGACGAGCTGTCTGCTCTGGTTGCTGGTAAGAACGATCTCCAACTGGCTTTCCTGATCTCTGGAAAGTGGAGTTCTGTTGATGATAGTGTGTGATTTTGTAGAAACAGGAAATTGACATTTTTGCTTTTTCCGGTTTGAGGCTTTTTTGTGCTCTCCCTTGCTGCCCTCCTTTTCCTGCATCTCCTCATCCTCTCCTCTTCTTTCTTCTCCCTCCTCTCCTCTTTTTCCCCTCCCACATTCCAGCACCACCCCCTCAGCTGATGAGCACGCAACAGCTGGCCATCACAGGCGCGGCAGTGGGTGGCGTACTGGCAATAGGGCTCATCCTACTGTTGCTCTTCACTGCTGTGGGCTGCTGCAGTGACGTGTGTGGGGGGCTGTGTGGGGCGAGAAAGAGAGGGGACGAGGAGAGTGTGTGGGTGGGTGAGTGGGGAAAGGGAAGCGGGTATGAGAAGGTGGATAGGCGCAATCTGGGGGTTGATGTTGGAGTGGGTGGGAAAGGGCAGCAGGGCAGGGAGGCGAGGAGGAAGACTGGTCGAGTTAGGAGAGAGGGTAGGAGTGAATTGGAGGGAGAGAGGCAAGGCAGGGATAGGCCTTGGCACGTGAAGAAACAGGAGCAGCAGGAGCGTAAGGTGGAGCAGCGTGAGGGGAGGACGCAGCAGGCTGAGGGGAGGGCGCAGTTGGGTATGGGCCACCGGCACAGCATCCCAGTACGTGAGCAGAGGCACCAAGAGCAGCAGCAGCCCATGCCGTCCCTTCAGCAAAACATGCCGCCCTTTCAGCAGCAGCAGCAACAGCAACGTAACCAGAGCAGGGTGGAGCCAGTGGCAGAGCAGCACAGAGCAGTGGCGGACCAGCGCGAGGACGCTCTTGCAGGCAGCGAGGGCACAGCAATGGGCTCGGCTGAACTGATGGGTTCGGGCGTGGGGCGGGGCATGGGCAGGGGCAAGGACATGGGCATGGGCGTGAGCGTGGGCATGGGCATACATGGTGGTAGCGTCATGGGTAGAGGATGGAGTGGTGCAGCGAGTGCAGTGCTTCCCTCTGTTGAGCAGCACATGGGATGGCTGGCAGCACAGGCCAGCTTGCAGCAGCAACAACTACAGAAGCAGCAGCAGCGGCAGCAGCAGCAGCAGCAGCAGCAGCAGCAGCAGCAGCAGCAGCAGCAGCAGCAGCAGCAGCAGCAGCAGCAGCAGCAGCAGCAGCAGCAGCAGCAGCAGCAGCAGCAGCAGCAGCAGCAGCAGCAGCAGCAGCAGCAGCAGCAGCAGCAGAGGCAGCAGGAGAGAGGCATTGCAGAGCAGCAAGGGACAGGGGGAAACCAAAGGCATTATACAAACCAACAGCAGCAGCACCCATCCTTCACTGCCTCGCCAGCTGCTGCTGAGCTACCTGCAGGCATCTCAAGTGGCCAGGTCCAGCCAAGGGGCACAGCTGGCACGTCGGAGCTAAGAGGTGCAGCCGAGGCAAGGAGAGAGGGCGAGTCATTGTTTGCTAATACTGAGCAGATGAGGAAGAAGCAGCGAAGCATGCACACTGAAGTGGTGGGCGGGAGTGGGCTAGGTGCGCAGTCAACAGCAGTAGCAGCCACTACCACAAGCACAGCTGTGCTGCCATCCGGGGAGACTGTGGATGTGGAACAAGTGGTGATTGGGCAGGTGAGCTGGGGATGGGAGGGACGTGGTGAGGGAATGAGTCTCTTTGGAAGCATGAAAGTTACTTATTTATTATCAGTTTTTACTCTGTTCCCATCTCATGTGTACTCCCAACCCCTTCATCTCCCCGCTCTCCTTCTCCCCCCCGGTTCCCCTCCCTCTCCCTGCTTTCCCCCTGCCCCAGCTCTCCCCTGCCCATATCTCACAGCATATGCGCCTGCTCTCCCGCCTCTCCCACCCTCACATCGTCGACACCCTTGGCTACAAGCTGCTGGCTGGCAACATTTGTCTGGTAGCGACAGCCCACATGTCTCAAGGAACTCTCCTCCAGTGGCTCAAAGGTTCGTCCCAGTTGTTACTTCAGATGAGCCTTCATGTGCTTCTCCGGTGGTCCTTCAGGTTTTTTCTCAGGTTTCTCTTCAGGTGTTTCATTTGGGTCGCCCAGGTTCGCCGCAACTGCTGGCCATCTCACTCTTTTCCGCTTCCCTACCTCCTCTTTTCCTGTGAATCTGGTCTGTTCTTTTTCGAGAGAGCGCGAGTGCTAGGAGAGCATGCTAAAACAAAGCACATCTTCTATCCACACCCGTTTCCTCTCTTCCTTCTACCCCCCCCCCCCCTCTTCAGCCTCCTCCCCTCCTCTGCTCGACTGGCCTGCAAGGGTGCAAGTGGCCCGGTCGGTAGCCCGAGCGCTCACATTCGCCCACTCGTGCGATCCCCCCCTGCCACATGGCGCGCTCTCCTCGCGCCACGTGGCGTTTGGAGCGGACCTCAAGCCACGTGTCAGCGGCTTCGCTGCTGCCAGGCTGAGAAGACTGGGGCAACGGAGGTGAGAATAGGGGGAAGCTGCGAGGTTGGGTGCATCATTTTAAAAGTTGAATGCAAGGGTGAGAGGCATGTGGGTGGGCTAGGCAGAGAGGAAACAAATGGATTGACTGGTGGAAAGCAGGGATAGGTGCAGAACCGGCATTTTGCAGATGGGGTGGGGAGCTCGGAGGGAGTGGCTTCTCATTCCTTTGACTCCCTTTGCTGTCTCCATGCCCGCAGGGAATTGCATGGAGATTCCTCTGCTGACATGGATGCTGACATGGCAGCTGATGTGGCGGAGTGCGTAGCATCGGACATACACAGCTTTGGTCTCATTCTCCTCCATCTGCTCACCGGCCGTGACCCCTTCCTCTCATCGCCATCATCATCATCATCATCACCACCTTCTGCCTCGTCCTCTGGTGGCCTTCCGACCGATGCACAGCGGCTGCTGGCTGAGGTGAGTGGAGAGAGCTGAGATCAGTGAGCTATCTTCCAAGGGAATATCACATTTACAATGGACTGTGATTCCTCTCCCCCTCTTCCCAGAAGAAAGTTATCCTCATTAGATGCACATTTGTAGTCTCTCTGGCACATACGTGCATTTCCATCAGCCCTGCATCAGTATTTGCATGTACGTGTATGCAGTCTCGTATCCACATGCATGCACTTGCATGCATTCACAAACACACGCCCTGCTGGTGTAGCTCTTGAAGCATTTGGCGCCTTTGCCAGCATCTTGCGTATACATCACAATTTTTAAAATACATGCGTGCGTGCTATATGTATGCACGGTTGTGTAGTGCACGTTTATGTCCCACAATTCAATGTCTGCATGCATGCCTGCAGGTCAAGTCTGCATGTGAATGCATGGACGACACACACCTTTTGAGTTTAGCAGATCCTTCACTCGCAATCAAGCGCGCACCCTCTACCATGTTAAGGTATGGCCTTCCATGCGCACTGGAATGCGTCTCCCATGCTGTTATACCTTCCCTTCCTCTCATTCTGTACCATTTTCAGGTTTGCTCTAGTTCTCTCACTCTCTCTCCCCCTCTTTCATCCTTGTGTGCAGCTTTGCAGAGCTGGCCGTCAGCTGCGCAGCTGTGCCCCCGGATGTTTCTTCGATGGCGGAGGCTAGTCATCGTCTCAACGTGCTTGGCATTATGTCCTTAGACTTTTGAAGCCACGTTGAGGGGATCATGGCCTAAGCCAGGCAATCTTCTTCAAATGTGATGATACAATGTAAAGTTCCTCCCTGCTTGGAGAAATCCTACCAGTGATGGGATCTTACTGATAATGGGAAAACCTTTTTATTCGCTTGCAGTGTCCATATGCTATTAGTAGTACGGTAAGCGAATGTGTAAAGCGACATAACTGATGGCCTTAACTTTTCTTACCATGTTGACAAGAGATTAGCCGAGATTAGCCAAGTGAAAATGGATTAGGTGAGGCATGGCCCAGTTGATGGTAAATTTTGGTGTCTGCCCATGTCAAATTACCTACGTGAACAGACTTCCCTGGATTTGTTAGTTATGAGTCTCTTGGTCAATATCTACTGTAAGATAAAAGAAAACGTAATCCTTGCCATACCCAGAAAGCGAGTCTCAGCGTAACGCAGCTGGGTCTGCCCCACCAAAAGATCAAAGCAAGAAATATCTGCAAGTCGTGGTCAGAGGCTTTCGGCCAGGTCTTAGGAGCTTCCGCGTTGCGCGGAACCGTTGAGTTGTCGGATCTAACTGTGCCTTGCCTCGAAGAACCGCACACCAAGGAGCGACCGGGGGTGTCAGCTATTTTTCCTGTTCGAGAATTCTCGAACCAATTTTGACCTACTCCGTAGAGCTTTCTAGGCGAAAGATCAGGTGACCTGAAATTTTATATTGAGATTTCGGGATGTCGTGCATTAGTTTTTCCAATCGGCCTGAAGCTGCCGTTCAATTCCTAGTTAAGTGAAGGAGTAGGTGATTTGATCTGGTTGGATCTTCGCAGTGTTGGGATCAGCTGCCGAATCACCATTTGCAGTACAGCTGGTGGGTCACGATACCACCGCACTACTCGTTCAACCACTAGCCGTCTAGAGACGGCATCCGACCAGTTCGGCCGGCGATTTAGTCGATTGGGAGACTCGGATAGGCAACAGAGTCGTTTTGCAGGGAATTTCGGACAGGGAGACTCAGACAGTGAACAGAGAGTGATTCGGGAAGGGAGATGGCGTTGGAGAGCGATCGCAGCAACAAGCGACAGAGAGTCACCTCAGGCACGTTCTGCGACAGGCCTGCTTGTGCGACAGGCTGGGCATGCGACTGAATTGTTGTGCGACTGGGTTGCTGTGCGACAGACATTTGTTTCTTGCCGTTCTTTCGTGATAATGATGTTTCGCGGCTTTAGCATCGTTAGAACCTGTGCTATCATGTACGTTCTACAGTATATACATGTGCTGCAGCTGTTTAGACGTGCTGCAGAGGACCTTAAATCCATCACCGTAGAGCACCTTGCTGTTGATCCTTACTCCCACCAGATCGCCTTTCCTCTCCTCTCCTCCGCTCCCTTCCCCGATCAAGTGCTCTCCGCTCCTCCCGTCCACGCTTCTCTCCTCTCCTCTCCTCTCCATCGTCCTCTGTCCTCCTCCCCGCGCCACCGTCGCCTTATCCCCCTGGCAGAGAGCCGCGGACCCACATTCCGCAAGGATGAAGCGGCATTCGAGGTTGGCTCCAGGTGAGTGTGCGTGTGATTGTGGGCACGACTCCTGGAGTCATAGTGCTGGGTATGACTCCTGTATTATGGCTTGTGTCACCCTGAGCCCAGTGACGTAATGGCGGATGACGACTGCTGAGAAAGAATCCGTCAAGTCCCCACAATTCGCAACCCGGACCTCGTCTAGCTACTCTATCATGGGGGGGGGGCTGCTGCTAAACGCTTGACTCGTGTTTGCGGCATGTCTATTCTCATACTTTCAATCGCATCACCTCACCCTCCCCCGTCTCACTCCGCCTTGTTTGTGCCTTGCCCCTCGTCACTCCTCTTTTGCCCCCATTTCCCCTTATCCCCATTTCCCGTTTCCCGTGTCCCTGCTTACCGTGTGCCCAACATGTGTTGTCCCATGGCACGGCACGGCACGGCATGGCATGGCATGGCATGGCATGGCATGGCATGGCATGGCATGGCATGGCATGGCATGGCATGGCAATTGGCAGCTGGCGTGTGCTGGTGCTGCGGCTGGGGGAGCGGTGCATGGAGTTCGATGGGCGCATGGACCCCATCGAACAGATGGTACGGCTGAGAGGAGAGGGAGGATGACGAGGGGGGTTGGGGAGATGAAGGAAAGGGGGATGGGGGTGAGGGGTGTATCAACCTTACGAGTGTTCAGAGGTGCATGGAGTTTGACGGGCACATGGGTGGGTCCCATTGAGCACATGGTGAGGCTGGGAGATGTGTGGTGTGGGGGAGGAAGAGGTGGGGAAGTGGGGAAACTGTATCGTTTGGGGAAATTCTCAGACACGCATGGGCGTATGTACCCCATTGAGCAGATGGGGGACCTTCGGGATAGGTACCTGCCTTTGAGACATGAGCATCTCCACGTGATAACATCGTATCTTTGATAGGGCCCACCCTCCTCCCTTTTCCTGATTTAATCTATCCCCTCCCACCTTTCCTCCCACTCCGCCACGGCGCCACCAGGACCTGTGTCTGACGGTGGTCAGTCGCAACTTTGATGCGCTTAAGGGCGAACTGCTGCCGGTGAGTGAGACCAGTGTGCTCGTGTCATGCTGCACCTCGCTGCGTGCGTTCGTGCACTTATGCGTTCGTGCGCTCATGCGTTCGTGCGCTCATGCGTTCGTGCGCTCATGCGTTCGTGCGCTTATGCGTTCGTGCGCTCATGCGTTCGTGCGCTCATGCGTTCGTGCGCTCATGCGTTCGTGCGCTCATGCGTTCGTGCGCTCATGCGTTCGTGCGCTCATGCGTTCGTGCGCTCTTGCGTCCATGCGCTCATGCGTTCGTACGCTTGTGTGTGTGCGTGAGTCCCACACCGTTCCCGCTTGTCCTCCCACACCGTTGCCAGCACATGCTTTGCTTCCCAGTTCCATCGGTGTCACTTGTCAATTGACAAGTGCCAATCCGAGTGCCACTCTTTGCCAGGGTGGCTCAGTGTGTGTTTTCTGAGAATTCTTAAAAAAACCACTCGTTGCCAGGGTGGCTCAGGATGTGATGCCATCTACTCACAAGCCATGGTCGGACCTAGCTCCTTGCACCCAAAACCACCCCCCCTGCTCTGTGCGCCCCACCCCAAACAGCTCCTAATGCTGTGTGCAGAGGACTTCAACTAAAGGCACCATTCACCAGCCAAGGGCCTTGCTGCATGCACCTCACCCATCTGCCTTGCGTCCCACCCCATGCTCCCCACCCCATGCTCCCCCCCCCCACCCCATGCTCCCCACCCCACCCCACGCGCCTCCCACCCCATGCAGCTCCTAATGCAGTGTGCAGAGGACCTTCCCCAAAAGGCACCGTTCACCAGCCAAGGACCTCGCTGCATGCACCTCACCCATCCGCCTTGCGTCCCACCCCATGCTCCGCCTCACCCCACTGCAGCTCCTAATGCAGTGTGCAGAGGACCTTCCCCAAAAGGCACCGTTCACCAGCCAAGGACCTCGCTGCATGCACCTCACCCATCCGCCTTGCGTCCCACCCCATGCTCCGCCTCAACCCACTGCAGCTCCTAATGCAGTGTGCAGAGGACCTTCCCCAAAAGGCACCGTTCACCAGCCAAGGACCTCGCTGCATGCACCTCACCCATCCGCCTTGCGTCCCACCCCATGCTCCGCCTCACCCCACTGCAGCTCCTAATGCAGTGTGCAGAGGACCTTCCCCAAAAGGCACCGTTCTACACCACTCTGGTACCTGCTCTCCTCTTACCCTCCCCAACTTCTTTCCTCCCTCCTCCCCCTCCTCTCCCTCCAAACCCCCCACTACTCGTCCTTCCATTCCACTTCAGTTCCTTTGCTCTCCTCTTCCCTCTCCTCCTCAGCTCTTCATCAAAGAGGTGAGCTGAGGAGAGCTGAGGAGTGCTTTCCTTCCATTCTGTCTCCCGTCATCTCAAAAGCCCACCAACACGTGCGCCTCCTCACACATTGCTGATTGCAAAGCCTCTCGTGCTCTCTCCCCTTCTACTTTCTCCATTCCTCCATTCTCCGCTCTCCCCTCTCCCTCTCTCCACTTTTCATTCGCATACTTTCAATAAAGTCAACCCTTCTTTTCTCCTTGCCTATTCATTCCCCCCCTCCCCCCACTCAACCCCCCCACAGGTGTCGTTGCTAAATGTGGACTATGAGGAGTTTGGGGCGTCGGTGGTGGAGCATGTGATGGCCGGCTTGCAGGTGAGTGGGTTGTGTGCGGTGCTTTGGGATGCTGTGTGGTGCTGCGTGCTTTGTGCTGTGCTGCTGCATGATGTGTTGTGATGTGTGATACCGTACGTGTTGTGTGCAGTTTGCCGTTTGTGCTGTGTGGTGCTGTGTGGTGCCCTGCCTTGCGGTGTGTGTGTATTCTGCACACTCACCCTCTTGCCTCTTCCCGTGTGTGTCAAATCCCATCCCAGAGCAACACCACATATACATCCTGATCCAGTGTGTGTGGCGTGCTCGCAACGCTTTGTTTTGGTCATTCCGTTCCATGCCAGTCCGCTCCCCTACCACCTGCGTTGCGAGGACCCGCCCTCCATTTCCCGGCCCTCCTTTCATGCCTTTCTTCCTCGTGCTGCTCATCTGCTCTCAACCAGGCTGCCTTTGAAACAGGCGAGTGCAACAAGATGCGCATTCTGCTACGCCTGCTTGCCCTGCTGGTATGTATGACCACCCCCCGCTCCCTTCTCCCGGGCCCCCCACCCCACCCCCCACCCCACCCCCCTCCCCTTTTTTTTGCCGCAACTGTTTTCACTGCTGATACGACTCTTTGCTTTCGGGCTCCTCTTTAGCAGTTCGTGTTGACCTGTTACTAGTACAGCATACCAAAGTCAGGCATCCTGCTGCAAGCGATGCCCCTCTCTGCCTGTCTGCATCTTCCCTCGTACCCGTTTTGTCTCCCTCCCGTTTCTCAAATATCTTATCTCCTCTCCTGTTTCACCCTTTCCCTTCATTCTTCTGTCTCTCCCCTCTTTCCCTCTTCCCTCTCTCCCATTCTCTCTCCCCCGTTGTTCTCAGTCCGTGGCAGCAGTAGTGCCAGAGTCCGAGGTGTTGCAAGTTTTGTCTCTTCTGGTCGACACCGCCACCTCGCATCTCGATCCGACAGCTGGCGGGAATCCCAACTGGCAGCCGCGGGCGGACTTCTTTGTCTTTTGTGTGCTTGCCTGCCTCCCCTTCACTGCTCAGGACTGGCAGGAGGTGCGTGTGTAACATGCGCATGTGTCCGCATATCTTGTTTTGAAATGTCTCAAAACCCGCTTTTTCTTGCTCGAATGTTCGATTCGACTGCCTGACCAGCATAATGACCTGACCTCATATTACACCATCCTTGTTCCCTCCAGCTTCGCACCCTTCTCATCATCTAATCGCATGGTGTCACCTCTCACCTGCCAGGCATGGACTTCCGTCTCCCCACTTCTCCCCTTGTGCACTTCTCCCCCCCTCCACCTCTCCCCCCCTCCACTTCTCCCCCCCTCCACTTCTCCCCACTTCCACTTCTCCCCCCCTCCACTTCTTCCCTCTTTCCCAGTCACATCCGGACGAGCTAGCGAGTCTGCTAGCAGCAGCGCAGGGCTACATGGAAGCGCGCTCGCCCCTCATCTTCCCGGCACTCGCAGTCTTCGAGCCTCAGCCCAATGACACCACGCCGCCACAGGTGAGTGTGTTCGCTCAAGGGAAGGGAGTGCTTAGGGGTTACATGGAAGCGTGCTCGCCCCTCATCTTCCCAGCACTCGCAGTCTTTGAGCCTCAGCCCAATGACACCACGCCACCACAGGTGGGTTATTCTGCTCAAGGGAAGAGAGAGGAACCACGTGTTCTTCCTACGAAGGGTTCTTAAATCATACCGTTTGAATGCCACGTCTTCCCCCCCACTGCCCGCCTCTTTCCCTGCCACCCCTCCAAAACCTTTATCTGCCCATGAACCTGTCTCTCTCTCTACCTATACGTGTCTTTTCCTCAAGTGGCTCACCTCGTGCCCTTCCACCCTCCACATGCTGTCTGCTCCTGTGCTCTCTGCACTGCCCTCGGCACTGTTCTCTCCTTTTCAGGACTATCTGGAGGAGCTATGGGATCGCATCAAGGCAATCAAGGAAGATTCCTGGAAGGCGGAGAGTGGTAGGCAAACTTAAAAGAGCTTTTCTTTTTTCTCTTTGACGTCGTGAGAAGCTCAAATGAAACCGTGTGTATGCCGATTATCGACTTTTGAGACGTCCCAGAAAGTCTCTGGCTTGGTGAAAAGCTCAAACGATCAAAACCGTGTGTACGCCGCTTATCCTGTATACAATGCGTGCACTAGCGGCATGCATAGATGCCTCTCCTCCTTTCCGCCTTCACACCCTCGCCTCGTTTCCTCATAATTTGTTCTCCTTACCTCGTTCCCCTTCCGCCTTCCCTCTTCCACTTCTCCTTCCATTACAGTCCCTCGCCCCCACGTGGCAGTGAAGGAAAGGCTCTTCCATGCGCCACCCCCTCGGCCTCTTCACTCCGCCTTACTTCGTTTTAGTTCCCCCTTCCCCTTTCCCCTTCTGCCTCCCTCACAGTCCCTCGCCCACACGTGGCAGTCAAGGAAAGGCTCTCCTCCTCCATGCGCCACCCCCTCGGCCTCTTCACTCCGCCGCCGCCCCCCCCCGCTGCCACCCCTCTCGACGCGGATGCTGACATGGACGAGGGCGACGGCGAGCACAAGCAGACAAGAGCCGCCGCCCGGCAGCGGTTCGAGGCGCTGCAACAGTTCCCCCCGCCCCGGATTGGCCGGCTGAAGCTGTTTCCGCCAGCCAAGACAGACGCGGTGAGCTATTCTTGCTTTTCTTCTCCCTTATTCCCTGTCTGCGGATGTAGCACCATGCATTCTCAACATCGCCCTTTGACTGACTAGTAAGATTGTGTTCAGGCGGGTGCGAGAGGCTGGGACGAATTTGGACCGTTTCACAATGTCACTACATCCCTTCTCTCTCCCGCCTCTCCCCCACCAGACAATGTCACCCATCGACCGCTTTGTGGTGCAGGAGTATCTGCTGGACGTGCTCTTTTACATGAATGGCAGGTGGGTGCGGCACATGCTCTCTCACGCAATGAAAGCACAGGGTTGGTTGTGTGCCGCAGCAGTGGAATGCTTTGTGGTGCAGGAGTATCTGCTGGACGCGCTCTTTTACATGAACGGCAGGTGAGCGGCAAATGAGGTGAGTGGCAAATGGGGTGAGTGGGAAATGGGGTGAGTGGCAAATGGGGTGAGTGGCAAATGGGGTGAGTGGCAAATGGGGTGAGTGGCAAATGGGGTGAGTGGCAAATGGGGTGAGTGGGAAATGGGGTGAGTGGCAAATGGGGTGAGTGGCAAATGGGGTGAGTGGCAAATGGGGTGAGTGGGAAATGGGGTGAGTGGGAAATGGGGTGAGTGCCAAATGGGGTGAGTGGCAAATGGGGTGAGTGGCAGGTGGGGTGAGTGGCAGGTGGGGTGAGTGGCAGGTGGGGTGAGTGGCAGGTGGGGTGAGTGGCAGGTGGGGTGAGTGGCAGGTGGGGTGAGTGGCAGGTGGGGTGAGTGGCAGGTGGGGTGAGTGGTGGGAGTGTGCATGCAAGCTACCTGGAGGGTCTGTCTGTTGTGTGATTCCTTGTTAGTGTCATCATGCCGTCTCATTTTCTTGCTGTCCCCATCAACCCCATCACCCCCATCCTCCCACCACCCTCCCCACCAGTCGCAAGGAGTGCGCGAGCTACCTGGTGGGCCTGCTGCCTCTTCCCTATCTCATTGTTTTGTGGTTCCCACCACCCACACCACCCACGCCACCCACGCCACCCACACCACCCACACCACCCACACCACCCACACCATCCCTACCACCCCTCCCCACCAGTCGCAAGGAGTGTTCGAGCTACCTGGTGGGTCTGCTGCTTCATCTTATCTCATTGCTTTGTTGTTCCCACCACCCGCACCACCAACCCCACCACCCCTAATACCAGTCGCAAGGAGTGCGCAAGCTACCTGGTGGGCCTACCTGTGCCCTTCCGCTACGAATACGTCATGGCGGAAACCGTCTTTTCCCAGGTGAAAACAACAGAGACGTTTCTCCTGTCAGGTGAAAATCACAAAGACATGTTGCCATCCAGGTGCAATCGACTGAAGCATCTCTATGTAAATCACGGACATTTTCCCATCCAAGTGATCGCACAGATTTTTGAGTCAACTCAAAAGTCACATTTTCCCATCCAAGTGCTAGCTAGCACACAAGCACACCTATATATCCGTCAGCCTCTCTGCCACTGTCTGTCTGTCCCCCACTTCATTCCGCTCACTTCCCCGTGTCCCCTCCGTGCCATCTTTCCTTGTCCAGTTGCTGCTGCTTCCCCGGCCGCCCTTCCGCCCCATCTACTACACAATCGTCCTCGTTGACCTCTGCAAGGTGCGTTGACCTCTGCAAGGTGCGTTGACCTCTGCAAGGTGCGTTGACCTCTGCAAGGTGCGTTGACCTCTGCAAGGTGCGTTGACCTCTGCAAGGTGCGTTGACCTCTGCAAGGTGCGTTGACCTCTGCAAGGTGCGTTGACCTCTGCAAGGTGCGTTGACCTCTGCAAGGTGCGTTGACCTCTGCAAGGTGCGTTGACCTCTGCAAGGTGCGTTGACCTCTGCAAGGTGCGTTGACCTCTGCAAGGTGCGTTGACCTCTGCAAGGTGCGTTGACCTCTGTAAGGTGCGTTGACCTCTGTAAGGTGCGTTGACCTCTGTAAGGTGCGTTGACCTCTGTAAGGTGCGTTGACCTCTGTAAGGTGCGTTGACCTCTGTAAGGTGCGCTGACTCTATTCACTCTGTTTGATTGCTGCAAGCCGTGAGCTTTCTTGTTGACTCTGCCACAAGATGCGTTAATCCCCCATCCGTTTAGCATTCCTTCACACTCTCAACTCTCACCCAGTCTCTCCCTGGCACTTTGTCTCCTTTGCAGTGCTGGCACCTGCAGTCAGGGCTCTCATCCTCAGAGCTACACCTTCCTCTCTCCATAACAACTTCTTTGCCCTGCTCCCTCCCCCCCATGCGTCCTCAATTCCACGGTCCCCCTCTCAGGCCCTCCCCGGCGCCTTCCCAGCGGTGCTGGCAGGGGCGGCGAGGGCGCTCTTCCCAGAGCTGCATCTTTCATTGCCCATCCGTCCCCCATCCGTCCCCCATTCGTCTCCCACTCCCCAACCCTCTCTCAGGCTCTCCCCGGCGCCTTCCCAGCAGTGCTGGCAGGGGCGGTGAGGGCTCTCTTCTCCCGGGCGGCAATCATGGACGTGGAGTGCAGGACACCCTTCATCCGTCCCCCATTCGTCTCCCACTCCCCAACCCTCTCTCAGGCTCTCCCAGGAGCCTTCCCAGCGGTGCTGGCAGGGGCAGTGAGGGCTCTCTTCTCCACAGCTGCACCTTTCATCGCCCATCCATCCTCCATTCGTCTCCCATTCCCCAACCCTCTCTCAGGCTCTCCCCGGCACCTTCCCAGTGGTGCTGGCAGGGGCAGTGAGGCTCCTCTTCCCCACAGCTGCACCTTCCCCTCCACGGGCCATGGCAACCCATATCTTTATTTGCCCTTCATCCATCCTCCATTCGTCTCCCACTCCCCAACCCTCTCAGGCACTCCCCGGCGCCTTCTCAGCAGTGCTGGCAGCGGTTGTGAGGGCTCTCTTCCCCACAGCTGCACCTTTCATCGCCCGTCCGTCCCCCATTCGTCTCCCTCTCCCCAACCCTCTCTCAGGCACTCCCAGGAGCCTTCCCAGCGGTGCTGGCGGGGGCGGTGAGGGCTCTCTTCTCCCGGGCGGCAATCATGGACGTGGAGTGCAGGACACGTGTCATCCAGTGGTTGGCCCACCACCTGTAAGCCCCTTTCCACGTGTCTGCCTCTCACTGGCGTCGCCAGTTAGCCTTGAGTGCCTATTCGTCATGTTGTTAGAGCCCCTCATAATTCATAACCCAAAAACTCAATCCAATCCAAGTCAAGTCAAGTCAAGTCGAGTCAAGTCAAGTCGAGAGTCAGCCTGTACTGAAGCACCCTCCCACCTGCACGCTCAAATTCCTCGTAAGTGGTTTGACACTCCCTGTATTCCTTGCCCTGAAGCCGCCTGCCCAGGTCCAACTATTCTTGGGTGAGGCGCCTCACATGTGCTGTTGTCTGTCCTGTGTGCCGGCCGCCTGCCCAGGTCCAACTATTCTTGGGTGAGGCGCCTCACATGTGCTGTTGTCTGTCCTGTGTGCCGGCCGCCTGCCCAGGTCCAACTATTCTTGGGTGAGGCGCCTCACATGTGCTGTTGTCTGTCCTGTGTGCCGGCCGCCTGCCCAGGTCCAACTTTGCGTTTGTGTGGCCGTGGGCGGCGTGGGCGGCAGTGGCACGGCAGCCGGAGTGGGCCCCACAGAGAGTGTTTGTGTCTGAGGTGCTGGAGAGGGAGATTCGGCTCTCCTACTTCGACAAGATCAGAGAGGTGTGTGCACACAGTACAGAGTGTGTGCTGAACGAGGTGTGCGCCTGTGCACTATCTCTCGCATGGGCTGCAAAATGAGTGTTTGTGTCTGAGGTGCTGGAGAGGGGGATCCGCCTGTCCTACTTCGACAAGATCCGAGAGTTGTGTGGTGCGATCATATCGTAACAAGATTAAAGAGGTGTGAGCACTCTCTTTCCCCCCACTACCAACTTCCCTCTAGTCCTAGCCTCTGGGTTACACCGAGATGGGGCAGCTTCTTCCGCAACCACTGCAGCACTCCCCTCTCCCTCCATACCCTCCATTCTTCGAGCCAGTCTTCAAGTCAATTTCAAGCGCAACCCCAGCAACCCTGCTTTCCCTTCCCTCTTGTCTCTCTCCTGTCCCCATGTGATAGTCCCTGGGTTCGAGTTCAAGTGCTGCTGCTGCTGCCTCCCAAGCCGGCGCCTGGCTTCAATTTCAAGGGCCGGGGAGACTGCTGGCGCCTGCAGAGCAAGGGGTGCTCTTCATCCTTCTCTGTGCTCTCCGCCCCACTGCTCTCTGTCTCTCCTGCTCCCCGTATCACAGTCGCTCGGGAGCGCAGAGATGGAGCAGCTGCTGCCTCCCAAGCCAGAGCCGCTTTTCAAGTTCAAGTGCAACCGATTTGTGGGGCCAGGGAGACTGCTGGCGCAATCAAGCAAGTGCCACTCTTTATCATTCTGCTCTCTGCCCCTCTGCTCTCTGCCCCTTGCGCTCCCCGTGTGACATTCTCTGGGCTCAGCAGAGATGGAGCAGCTACTCCCACCTAAGCCCGAGCCTGTCTTCAAGTTCAAGCGCAACCAATCCGTGGGGCCGGGGAGACTGCTGGCGCAACCGAGCAAGTACTGATCTTCATCCTTCCCTCTGCTCTCTGCCCCTTCTGCTCCCCGTGTTGCAGTCTCTGGGCTCAGCGGAAATGGAGCAGCTACTCCCCCCTAAACCCGAGCCTGTGTTCAAGTTCAAGCGCAACCGGGCTGCGGGGCCGGGGCGACTGCTGGTGCAATCAAGCAAGTGTTGCTGTCATGTTTGATCTCTGCCCATCTGCTCTCTGTCCCTCCTGTCCCCCGTGTCAAAGTCGTTGGGCAGCACGGAGATGGAGCAACTTCTACCCCCCAAGCCCGAGCCAGTCTTCAAGTTCAAGCGCAACCGGGCTGCGGGGCCGGGGAGGCTGCTGGCTCCTGCAGAGCAAGGGGTGCTGGCTCCTGCAGAGCAAGGGCTGCTGGCTCTTTCATCCTTCACTTTGCTCTCTGTCTTTCTGCTCTCTGTCACTCCTGCTCCCCGTGTATCAGTCTCTCGGCAGCACGGAGATGGAGCAGCTGCTGCCTCCCAAGCCCGAGCCTGTGTTCAAGTTCAAGTGCAACCGTTCCGCGGGGCCAGGGATACTGCTGGCGCAATCATGCAAGTGCCACTCTTCTGCTCTCTGGCCCTCTGCTCTCTGCCCCTTCTGCTCTCTGTCCCTTCTGCCCCCATGTCACAGTCTCTGGGCTCCACTGATATGGAGCAGCTAATCCCCCCTAAACCCGAGCCCGTCTTCAAGTTCAAGCGCAACCGAGCTGCAGGGCCGGGGAGACTGCTGGCGCCCGCAGAGCAAGGGGTGCTCTTTCATCCTTCTCTTTGCTCCCTGCCTTTCTGCTCTCTGCCTTTCTGCTCTCTGTCACTCCTGCTCCCCGTGTGACAGTCTCTCGGCTCAGCAGAAATGGAGCAGCTGCTGCTCCCTAAACCTGAGCCGGTCTTCAAGTTCAAGCGCAACCGAGCTGCGGGGCCGGGGAGACTACTGGCGCCCGCAGAGCAAGTGGTCCTTGTTCTTCACCCTCCTGTGTGCTGTCTGCCCATCCGCCCTCCCCTGTTCCCTGTGACAGTCCCTGGGCAGCACAGAGATGGAGCAGCTACTGCCTCCCAAGCCCGAGCCAGTCTTCAAGTTCAAGCGCAACCGAGCTGCGGGGCCGGGGCGTCTGCTGGCGCCCGCAGAGGGGGAAGGGGAGGGGGACGGGGAGAAGAAAGAGGGGGAGAAGGCGGGGGAGGGAGAGGGGGACCGAGACATGAAGGACGGGGGCGAGGGGGAGGGCGGGGAAGGGGGAAAAGAAGGGGAGAAAGACGGGGGGAAAGGCGCGGTGCAGCAGTACGGAGAGGGGGTGGATGCAGCAGCGGTGGAGGTAGCTGAGGAGTTGATAGTGATGGTGCGGACGAAGCGGGCGGGTAAGGAGGTGGCGGTGTGGGTGGAGGAGCAGGCGGTGGGCAAGGTGGGCGGGGACAAGGGGAGGGCGCTAGACGTGGTGGCACAGACGCTGCTGGTGCTGGGGTCGAAGAGTATTACCCACGCGGTGACTGTTTTGGAGAGATACGGGCTGGCGCTTCAGCTGCTCGCACCTGATCAGGTAAGCCAGTCGAGACGGTAAAGAGCTGATAGTGATGGTGAGGACGAAGCGGGCAGGCAAGGAGGTGTCAGCATGGGTGGAGGAGCAGGCGGTGGGCAAGGTGGGCGGGGACAAGGGCAGGGCACTGGACGTGGTGGCGCAGACACTGCTGGTGCTGGGCTGCAAGAGTATCACTCACGCGGTTACCTTGCTGGAGAGATATGGACTCGCGTTGCAGCTGCTCGCACCTGATCAGGTGGGGCACTGTGCTGTCACCTCTCGGGTGGGGTGGGAAAGGGTTTCTGCTGCTGATGCTGGGGTCGAGGAGCTTCAAGCATGCGGTTACTATTCTTGAGAGATACGGGCTGGCTGGCATTGCAGCTGCTCGCGCCTGATGGGGTGGGTTTGGTTTAAGGAACTGCCAGGTGAGGGATTGCTTCTGCGCCTGGGTTGCTGCAGGTGGGATGGGATTGGGGACCTTGGTGGGGCAAGCACCTGACTGGGATGGGGAAGGTGGGTGGGGAGAGGGTGGGGAAGGTGGATGTGGTGGCACAGACGCTGCTGGTGCTGGGGTCCAAGAGTATTACGCATGCGGTTACTGTGCTGGAGAGATATGGGCTGGCGCTGCAACTGCTGGCGCCTGACCAGGTGGGTGTGGGGCTTCGCTGCACTGCGACCACGGCACCCAGTGGGTTGGGCCAGTGGTCCTTTCTTATGCGCCTAAAGGATTGGGCAGGGCGCTGTGAGTGGTGTGTCGGGCGCTGTGAGTGGTGTGTCGGGCGCTGTGAGTGGTGTGTCGGGCGCTGTGAGTGGTGTGTCGGGCGCTGTGAGTGGTGTGTCGGGCGCTGTGAGTGGTGTGTCGGGCGCTGTGAGTGGTGTGTCGGGCGCTGTGAGTGGTGTGTCGGGCGCTGTGAGTGGTGTGTCGGGCGCTGTGAGTGGTGTGTCGGGCGCTGTGAGTGGTGTGTCGGGCGCTGTGAGTGGTGTGTCGGGCGCTGTGAGTGGTGTGTCGGGCGCTGTGAGTGGTGTGTCGGGCGCTGTGAGTGGTGTGTCGGGCGCTGTGAGTGGTGTGTCGGGCGCTGTGAGTGGTGTGTCGGGCGCTGTGAGTGGTGTGTCGGGCGCTGTGAGTGGTGTGTCGGGCGCTGTGAGTGGTGTGTCGGGCGCTGTGAGTGGTGTGTCGGGCGCTGTGAGTGGTGTGTCGGGCGCTGTGAGTGGTGTGTCGGGCGCTGTGAGTGGTGTGTCGGGCGCTGTGAGTGGTGTGTCGGGCGCTGTGAGTGGTGTGTCGGGCGCTGTGAGTGGTGTGTCGGGCGCTGTGAGTGGTGTGTCGGGCGCTGTGAGTGGTGTGTCGGGCGCTGTGAGTGGTGTGTCGGGCGCTGTGAGTGGTGTGTCGGGCGCTGTGAGTGGTGTGTCGGGCGCTGTGAGTGGTGTGTCGGGCGCTGTGAGTGGTGTGTCGGGCGCTGTGAGTGGTGTGTCGGGCGCTGTGAGTGGTGTGTCGGGCGCTGTGAGTGGTGTGTCGGGCGCTGTGAGTGGTGTGTCGGGCGCTGTGAGTGGTGTGTCGGGCGCTGTGAGTGGTGTGTCGGGCGCTGTGAGTGGTGTGTCGGGCGCTGTGAGTGGTGTGTCGGGCGCTGTGAGTGGTGTGTCGGGCGCTGTGAGTGGTGTGTCGGGCGCTGTGAGTGGTGTGTCGGGCGCTGTGAGTGGTGTGTCGGGCGCTGTGAGTGGTGTGTCGGGCGCTGTGAGTGGTGTGTCGGGCGCTGTGAGTGGTGTGTCGGGCGCTGTGAGTGGTGTGTCGGGCGCTGTGAGTGGTGTGTCGGGCGCTGTGAGTGGTGTGTCGGGCGCTGTGAGTGGTGTGTCGGGCGCTGTGAGTGGTGTGTCGGGCGCTGTGAGTGGTGTGTCGGGCGCTGTGAGTGGTGTGTCGGGCGCTGTGAGTGGTGTGTCGGGCGCTGTGAGTGGTGTGTCGGGCGCTGTGAGTGGTGTGTCGGGCGCTGTGAGTGGTGTGTCGGGCGCTGTGAGTGGTGTGTCGGGCGCTGTGAGTGGTGTGTCGGGCGCTGTGAGTGGTGTGTCGGGCGCTGTGAGTGGTGTGTCGGGCGCTGTGAGTGGTGTGTCGGGCGCTGTGAGTGGTGTGTCGGGCGCTGTGAGTGGTGTGTCGGGCGCTGTGAGTGGTGTGTCGGGCGCTGTGAGTGGTGTGTCGGGCGCTGTGAGTGGTGTGTCGGGCGCTGTGAGTGGTGTGTCGGGCGCTGTGAGTGGTGTGTCGGGCGCTGTGAGTGGTGTGTCGGGCGCTGTGAGTGGTGTGTCGGGCGCTGTGAGTGGTGTGTCGGGCGCTGTGAGTGGTGTGTCGGGCGCTGTGAGTGGTGTGTCGGGCGCTGTGAGTGGTGTGTCGGGCGCTGTGAGTGGTGTGTCGGGCGCTGTGAGTGGTGTGTCGGGCGCTGTGAGTGGTGTGTCGGGCGCTGTGAGTGGTGTGTCGGGCGCTGTGAGTGGTGTGTCGGGCGCTGTGAGTGGTGTGTCGGGCGCTGTGAGTGGTGTGTCGGGCGCTGTGAGTGGTGTGTCGGGCGCTGTGAGTGGTGTGTCGGGCGCTGTGAGTGGTGTGTCGGGCGCTGTGAGTGGTGTGTCGGGCGCTGTGAGTGGTGTGTCGGGCGCTGTGAGTGGTGTGTCGGGCGCTGTGAGTGGTGTGTCGGGCGCTGTGAGTGGTGTGTCGGGCGCTGTGAGTGGTGTGTCGGGCGCTGTGAGTGGTGTGTCGGGCGCTGTGAGTGGTGTGTCGGGCGCTGTGAGTGGTGTGTCGGGCGCTGTGAGTGGTGTGTCGGGCGCTGTGAGTGGTGTGTCGGGCGCTGTGAGTGGTGTGTCGGGCGCTGTGAGTGGTGTGTCGGGCGCTGTGAGTGGTGTGTCGGGCGCTGTGAGTGGTGTGTCGGGCGCTGTGAGTGGTGTGTCGGGCGCTGTGAGTGGTGTGTCGGGCGCTGTGAGTGGTGTGTCGGGCGCTGTGAGTGGTGTGTCGGGCGCTGTGAGTGGTGTGTCGGGCGCTGTGAGTGGTGTGTCGGGCGCTGTGAGTGGTGTGTCGGGCGCTGTGAGTGGTGTGTCGGGCGCTGTGAGTGGTGTGTCGGGCGCTGTGAGTGGTGTGTCGGGCGCTGTGAGTGGTGTGTCGGGCGCTGTGAGTGGTGTGTCGGGCGCTGTGAGTGGTGTGTCGGGCGCTGTGAGTGGTGTGTCGGGCGCTGTGAGTGGTGTGTCGGGCGCTGTGAGTGGTGTGTCGGGCGCTGTGAGTGGTGTGTCGGGCGCTGTGAGTGGTGTGTCGGGCGCTGTGAGTGGTGTGTCGGGCGCTGTGAGTGGTGTGTCGGGCGCTGTGAGTGGTGTGTCGGGCGCTGTGAGTGGTGTGTCGGGCGCTGTGAGTGGTGTGTCGGGCGCTGTGAGTGGTGTGTCGGGCGCTGTGAGTGGTGTGTCGGGCGCTGTGAGTGGTGTGTCGGGCGCTGTGAGTGGTGTGTCGGGCGCTGTGAGTGGTGTGTCGGGCGCTGTGAGTGGTGTGTCGGGCGCTGTGAGTGGTGTGTCGGGCGCTGTGAGTGGTGTGTCGGGCGCTGTGAGTGGTGTGTCGGGCGCTGTGAGTGGTGTGTCGGGCGCTGTGAGTGGTGTGTCGGGCGCTGTGAGTGGTGTGTCGGGCGCTGTGAGTGGTGTGTCGGGCGCTGTGAGTGGTGTGTCGGGCGCTGTGAGTGGTGTGTCGGGCGCTGTGAGTGGTGTGTCGGGCGCTGTGAGTGGTGTGTCGGGCGCTGTGAGTGGTGTGTCGGGCGCTGTGAGTGGTGTGTCGGGCGCTGTGAGTGGTGTGTCGGGCGCTGTGAGTGGTGTGTCGGGCGCTGTGAGTGGTGTGTCGGGCGCTGTGAGTGGTGTGTCGGGCGCTGTGAGTGGTGTGTCGGGCGCTGTGAGTGGTGTGTCGGGCGCTGTGAGTGGTGTGTCGGGCGCTGTGAGTGGTGTGTCGGGCGCTGTGAGTGGTGTGTCGGGCGCTGTGAGTGGTGTGTCGGGCGCTGTGAGTGGTGTGTCGGGCGCTGTGAGTGGTGTGTCGGGCGCTGTGAGTGGTGTGTCGGGCGCTGTGAGTGGTGTGTCGGGCGCTGTGAGTGGTGTGTCGGGCGCTGTGAGTGGTGTGTCGGGCGCTGTGAGTGGTGTGTCGGGCGCTGTGAGTGGTGTGTCGGGCGCTGTGAGTGGTGTGTCGGGCGCTGTGAGTGGTGTGTCGGGCGCTGTGAGTGGTGTGTCGGGCGCTGTGAGTGGTGTGTCGGGCGCTGTGAGTGGTGTGTCGGGCGCTGTGAGTGGTGTGTCGGGCGCTGTGAGTGGTGTGTCGGGCGCTGTGAGTGGTGTGTCGGGCGCTGTGAGTGGTGTGTCGGGCGCTGTGAGTGGTGTGTCGGGCGCTGTGAGTGGTGTGTCGGGCGCTGTGAGTGGTGTGTCGGGCGCTGTGAGTGGTGTGTCGGGCGCTGTGAGTGGTGTGTCGGGCGCTGTGAGTGGTGTGTCGGGCGCTGTGAGTGGTGTGTCGGGCGCTGTGAGTGGTGTGTCGGGCGCTGTGAGTGGTGTGTCGGGCGCTGTGAGTGGTGTGTCGGGCGCTGTGAGTGGTGTGTCGGGCGCTGTGAGTGGTGTGTCGGGCGCTGTGAGTGGTGTGTCGGGCGCTGTGAGTGGTGTGTCGGGCGCTGTGAGTGGTGTGTCGGGCGCTGTGAGTGGTGTGTCGGGCGCTGTGAGTGGTGTGTCGGGCGCTGTGAGTGGTGTGTCGGGCGCTGTGAGTGGTGTGTCGGGCGCTGTGAGTGGTGTGTCGGGCGCTGTGAGTGGTGTGTCGGGCGCTGTGAGTGGTGTGTCGGGCGCTGTGAGTGGTGTGTCGGGCGCTGTGAGTGGTGTGTCGGGCGCTGTGAGTGGTGTGTCGGGCGCTGTGAGTGGTGTGTCGGGCGCTGTGAGTGGTGTGTCGGGCGCTGTGAGTGGTGTGTCGGGCGCTGTGAGTGGTGTGTCGGGCGCTGTGAGTGGTGTGTCGGGCGCTGTGAGTGGTGTGTCGGGCGCTGTGAGTGGTGTGTCGGGCGCTGTGAGTGGTGTGTCGGGCGCTGTGAGTGGTGTGTCGGGCGCTGTGAGTGGTGTGTCGGGCGCTGTGAGTGGTGTGTCGGGCGCTGTGAGTGGTGTGTCGGGCGCTGTGAGTGGTGTGTCGGGCGCTGTGAGTGGTGTGTCGGGCGCTGTGAGTGGTGTGTCGGGCGCTGTGAGTGGTGTGTCGGGCGCTGTGAGTGGTGTGTCGGGCGCTGTGAGTGGTGTGTCGGGCGCTGTGAGTGGTGTGTCGGGCGCTGTGAGTGGTGTGTCGGGCGCTGTGAGTGGTGTGTCGGGCGCTGTGAGTGGTGTGTCGGGCGCTGTGAGTGGTGTGTCGGGCGCTGTGAGTGGTGTGTCGGGCGCTGTGAGTGGTGTGTCGGGCGCTGTGAGTGGTGTGTCGGGCGCTGTGAGTGGTGTGTCGGGCGCTGTGAGTGGTGTGTCGGGCGCTGTGAGTGGTGTGTCGGGCGCTGTGAGTGGTGTGTCGGGCGCTGTGAGTGGTGTGTCGGGCGCTGTGAGTGGTGTGTCGGGCGCTGTGAGTGGTGTGTCGGGCGCTGTGAGTGGTGTGTCGGGCGCTGTGAGTGGTGTGTCGGGCGCTGTGAGTGGTGTGTCGGGCGCTGTGAGTGGTGTGTCGGGCGCTGTGAGTGGTGTGTCGGGCGCTGTGAGTGGTGTGTCGGGCGCTGTGAGTGGTGTGTCGGGCGCTGTGAGTGGTGTGTCGGGCGCTGTGAGTGGTGTGTCGGGCGCTGTGAGTGGTGTGTCGGGCGCTGTGAGTGGTGTGTCGGGCGCTGTGAGTGGTGTGTCGGGCGCTGTGAGTGGTGTGTCGGGCGCTGTGAGTGGTGTGTCGGGCGCTGTGAGTGGTGTGTCGGGCGCTGTGAGTGGTGTGTCGGGCGCTGTGAGTGGTGTGTCGGGCGCTGTGAGTGGTGTGTCGGGCGCTGTGAGTGGTGTGTCGGGCGCTGTGAGTGGTGTGTCGGGCGCTGTGAGTGGTGTGTCGGGCGCTGTGAGTGGTGTGTCGGGCGCTGTGAGTGGTGTGTCGGGCGCTGTGAGTGGTGTGTCGGGCGCTGTGAGTGGTGTGTCGGGCGCTGTGAGTGGTGTGTCGGGCGCTGTGAGTGGTGTGTCGGGCGCTGTGAGTGGTGTGTCGGGCGCTGTGAGTGGTGTGTCGGGCGCTGTGAGTGGTGTGTCGGGCGCTGTGAGTGGTGTGTCGGGCGCTGTGAGTGGTGTGTCGGGCGCTGTGAGTGGTGTGTCGGGCGCTGTGAGTGGTGTGTCGGGCGCTGTGAGTGGTGTGTCGGGCGCTGTGAGTGGTGTGTCGGGCGCTGTGAGTGGTGTGTCGGGCGCTGTGAGTGGTGTGTCGGGCGCTGTGAGTGGTGTGTCGGGCGCTGTGAGTGGTGTGTCGGGCGCTGTGAGTGGTGTGTCGGGCGCTGTGAGTGGTGTGTCGGGCGCTGTGAGTGGTGTGTCGGGCGCTGTGAGTGGTGTGTCGGGCGCTGTGAGTGGTGTGTCGGGCGCTGTGAGTGGTGTGTCGGGCGCTGTGAGTGGTGTGTCGGGCGCTGTGAGTGGTGTGTCGGGCGCTGTGAGTGGTGTGTCGGGCGCTGTGAGTGGTGTGTCGGGCGCTGTGAGTGGTGTGTCGGGCGCTGTGAGTGGTGTGTCGGGCGCTGTGAGTGGTGTGTCGGGCGCTGTGAGTGGTGTGTCGGGCGCTGTGAGTGGTGTGTCGGGCGCTGTGAGTGGTGTGTCGGGCGCTGTGAGTGGTGTGTCGGGCGCTGTGAGTGGTGTGTCGGGCGCTGTGAGTGGTGTGTCGGGCGCTGTGAGTGGTGTGTCGGGCGCTGTGAGTGGTGTGTCGGGCGCTGTGAGTGGTGTGTCGGGCGCTGTGAGTGGTGTGTCGGGCGCTGTGAGTGGTGTGTCGGGCGCTGTGAGTGGTGTGTCGGGCGCTGTGAGTGGTGTGTCGGGCGCTGTGAGTGGTGTGTCGGGCGCTGTGAGTGGTGTGTCGGGCGCTGTGAGTGGTGTGTCGGGCGCTGTGAGTGGTGTGTCGGGCGCTGTGAGTGGTGTGTCGGGCGCTGTGAGTGGTGTGTCGGGCGCTGTGAGTGGTGTGTCGGGCGCTGTGAGTGGTGTGTCGGGCGCTGTGAGTGGTGTGTCGGGCGCTGTGAGTGGTGTGTCGGGCGCTGTGAGTGGTGTGTCGGGCGCTGTGAGTGGTGTGTCGGGCGCTGTGAGTGGTGTGTCGGGCGCTGTGAGTGGTGTGTCGGGCGCTGTGAGTGGTGTGTCGGGCGCTGTGAGTGGTGTGTCGGGCGCTGTGAGTGGTGTGTCGGGCGCTGTGAGTGGTGTGTCGGGCGCTGTGAGTGGTGTGTCGGGCGCTGTGAGTGGTGTGTCGGGCGCTGTGAGTGGTGTGTCGGGCGCTGTGAGTGGTGTGTCGGGCGCTGTGAGTGGTGTGTCGGGCGCTGTGAGTGGTGTGTCGGGCGCTGTGAGTGGTGTGTCGGGCGCTGTGAGTGGTGTGTCGGGCGCTGTGAGTGGTGTGTCGGGCGCTGTGAGTGGTGTGTCGGGCGCTGTGAGTGGTGTGTCGGGCGCTGTGAGTGGTGTGTCGGGCGCTGTGAGTGGTGTGTCGGGCGCTGTGAGTGGTGTGTCGGGCGCTGTGAGTGGTGTGTCGGGCGCTGTGAGTGGTGTGTCGGGCGCTGTGAGTGGTGTGTCGGGCGCTGTGAGTGGTGTGTCGGGCGCTGTGAGTGGTGTGTCGGGCGCTGTGAGTGGTGTGTCGGGCGCTGTGAGTGGTGTGTCGGGCGCTGTGAGTGGTGTGTCGGGCGCTGTGAGTGGTGTGTCGGGCGCTGTGAGTGGTGTGTCGGGCGCTGTGAGTGGTGTGTCGGGCGCTGTGAGTGGTGTGTCGGGCGCTGTGAGTGGTGTGTCGGGCGCTGTGAGTGGTGTGTCGGGCGCTGTGAGTGGTGTGTCGGGCGCTGTGAGTGGTGTGTCGGGCGCTGTGAGTGGTGTGTCGGGCGCTGTGAGTGGTGTGTCGGGCGCTGTGAGTGGTGTGTCGGGCGCTGTGAGTGGTGTGTCGGGCGCTGTGAGTGGTGTGTCGGGCGCTGTGAGTGGTGTGTCGGGCGCTGTGAGTGGTGTGTCGGGCGCTGTGAGTGGTGTGTCGGGCGCTGTGAGTGGTGTGTCGGGCGCTGTGAGTGGTGTGTCGGGCGCTGTGAGTGGTGTGTCGGGCGCTGTGAGTGGTGTGTCGGGCGCTGTGAGTGGTGTGTCGGGCGCTGTGAGTGGTGTGTCGGGCGCTGTGAGTGGTGTGTCGGGCGCTGTGAGTGGTGTGTCGGGCGCTGTGAGTGGTGTGTCGGGCGCTGTGAGTGGTGTGTCGGGCGCTGTGAGTGGTGTGTCGGGCGCTGTGAGTGGTGTGTCGGGCGCTGTGAGTGGTGTGTCGGGCGCTGTGAGTGGTGTGTCGGGCGCTGTGAGTGGTGTGTCGGGCGCTGTGAGTGGTGTGTCGGGCGCTGTGAGTGGTGTGTCGGGCGCTGTGAGTGGTGTGTCGGGCGCTGTGAGTGGTGTGTCGGGCGCTGTGAGTGGTGTGTCGGGCGCTGTGAGTGGTGTGTCGGGCGCTGTGAGTGGTGTGTCGGTCGAAGAGCAACGATCATGGGTGATGCCCATCCACCACCCACACCATGCAGTTATCGTGCTGGAGAGTTAAGGGCCGTCATTGCACCTGATCGCATCTGACTGAGATGGCCTCATCGACCCCCAACCCCGCTGCCCACTACCCCTGCCTGCTCTTCCCCCCTCTTCTCTCCCCCAACAGCCCTCCCAGGTTCTCCTGCTGACTGAACAGCATCTGGGCGGTGTGGGCCAACGCCCCTCAGATGGAATAATTGACCCTCCTCAACCCTACCTGCTCTCCCGCACTTCCTCCCTTCGCTTCCCCTTCCCCATAGCCCGCGCAGGTGCAGCTGCTGCACAGCATATGGGCCGTGTGGGCCAACACACCGCAGATGGCGGCAGTGGTGGGTGGTGGCCTAGCGAGTGTCAGAAACACACATGCTCCCCTGATCCCCCTCCTCCTCGAAACCCTCACCCGCTTCACCCACCTCACAGCATACGGACGGTGTGATGTGTTCCAACAGACCTCCTATGGCAGCAAAGCAATACCGCCTCCCACTTTCCCTCCAACAACCCTCCCCCCCATCCTCCTCCTGCACTGCAGCCCTCACAGGTGCAGCTGCTGCACAGCATATGGGCCGTGTGGGCCAATGCACCGCAGATGGCAGCAGTGGTGGTGGATCGCTGCCTCGGCTTCCGCCTCATCTCACCGCTCGCTCTATTGGATTGGTGCTTCCTACCGGCACACTATGAGCTCTACCACACATCTGAACGCATTTGGGAGGTGAGAAACCTGTTCGTAGGCACCTTAATTCAAAAGAGGCTCTCAGATGGCAGCAGTGGTGGTGGATCGCTGCCTCGGCTTCCGCCTCATCTCGCCACTCGCACTGCTCCTGGTGCTTCCTCCCCGCACACTACGAGCTCTACCACACCTCCGAGCGCATCTGGGAGGTCAGTGAATTGGGTAGCATCTTGGAGGTGGGTTCTCTTTTCTTAGCTGCAAGACCCAAATGCCTCAGGGCGCACCTCAGGTGGCGGCAGTGGTGGTGGATCGCTGCCTCGACTTCCGTCTCATCTCACCCCTTACCCTGCTGGCTGGATTGGTGCTTCCTACCCGCACACTATGAACTTTACCACACGTCTGAATGCATCTGGGAGGTGAGTGGGCGTTTGCCCAAGTGAAGTTCATGTTTGAAAGCTCCGCTCCCCCCCTCTCCGCTCCTCTGTGACCAAGGCCGCCAACCGTCAATGCTCCCCTCGGTGCAACCTTCTCCCACCCCCCTGTTCCCCTCCTGCTCCCATCGTCCCCCTCCCCCTCCCCCTCCCCCTCCCCCTCCCCCTCCCCCTCCCCCTCCCCCTCCCCCCATCCTCCCCCATCCTCCCCCTATCCTCCCCCTCCCCCTCCCCCTCCCCCTCCCCCTCCCCCTCCCTCTCTTCCTCCCCTTTCCCTCCCACTTCTCAATTTTCTTTTTCAAACAGATTCTCCGCACCGCTGTAAGCAAGGCCACCAACCGCCTGCGCCACGTCAGCGCTGAGGTGGCGGCGCTCGAGAGGGCGTCGGCTGTGGCAGCAGCGGCTGCCAGCAAGGCGCGCAGCGAATGGGAGGCTGCCACGTTGGCAGTGGAGGAGGCAGAGGGAGAGGAGGCGAAAACACAGGCTGCAGCCAAAAATGAATGGGCCAAGGTGGGTGTGTGTGGGTTGCGGTAAGGAAAGGTTGGGATAGGTACAGTGTGTACCATCTCTTAGCGGCAGCACCACCTCTTGATCTGCCATTTCCATGCTCACTCGTCTCCCGCCCTGTTCGCCTTTTCTCACTGCCTCAAATCCCCTTGAGCTCCGTTATTCTCTGAGATTCTTCTAAAGTATGTGTGTAGTCCATACAGCCACCTGTCTCTTTGGAAATTCCCGAGTGCTCTGAGAACTCTCAGTAGTTGCCTCTATCTGGAAGAGCTGAAGGCGGCACTGTGCAGGAGCTTTGAGGCGCCTCATAAATTCCTTAAGCTCCGCAGCAGCACTGTGCAGCAGGAGCAGGCGAAGGTGGCAGGCGCACCTCTTGTACCTCTTGTTATGCTGTTCCTTCCCATACTTGCTCCGTCCCCCCCCCCCCAAATTCCCTCTTCCCTCGTCCGCCCTTCCCCGGAGCCTGTATTCAACATTCGAGCAGCAAGGCACAGGAGGAGGTATTGGCAACAGTAGCGGCACATCTTGTTCTGCCGTTCCCACACTTGCTCTCTCCCCGCTTTTACCCCTATCCTCCTTTCAGCATCGAAGCAGCAAAGCTCAGGAGGAGGCGGAGGCAGCAGCAGCAGCGGTGGAGGGCAAAGAGAGAATGAGGCGAGAGGCCGAGGAGGAGGAGCAGGTGCGTGGAGAGCAGTGGAGATGGGTTAGGTTCAGTAGTGGTGGGTAGGTTTGATTGGGCAGCAGCAGCAGTGGTTAGGAAAGAGAAGAGGAGAGGGGTGGTTGAAAGAGAGGTGGAGGAGGAGTGGAGATGATAGGAGAGGGGAGTATGAGATTGGGAGGAAGGGCCTGGAAACTCAGAAGGAAGAGAAAAGAATGTAAACAGATGGGGTTGGAGGTTAAAGTATCCATGAAGACTGGAAAGAAAGAATGCAGACCTGCTGCTCCCCTTCTACCTCCATGTCTGCTCCATGTCATGTTTGCCGCATTTCTGCTCATGAAATGGAGGTAGAAGGGGAAGCAGCAGGTCTACATTTTTTCTTTCCAATCCCTTCTGCCTCTATGTCTGCTCCATGTCATGTTTGCCGCTCTGCTGCTTAATCTCTTGCTGCTCATTCCTCCGTTGCTCATTGCTCCCACCTCCCCTTCCTCCCCCGCCTTGCCTTTCTCAACACCCTCCCCTTCCTCCCGCCATGCCCTACTCATCATGCTGCTGCTGCACTTTGCTTCAGCTGTCAGCAATCGGCAGGCTGCTGTGGCCAACGCAGCACCTTGACTCATGCTTCCTCCTCGTTCTTCTCCTCTCCCTTTACTCCCATCCCTGCTCCCTGCCTCTCCCCAGGCTCTGTTCATTGCGCTGCTGCTTCATTTTGCCACGGCGGTCAACAACAGGCGGGCTGCTGTAGCGGAGGCAGCAGCAAGGGAGGAGGAAGAGGAGGAGGCGAGGAGGGTGGAGGAGGAGCGGATGGAGGAGGATGAAGGGGACGATGCAGGGATGGATGGAGAGGAGGGTGGGGATGGTGGCAGCGACAGGTGAGGCAGGGCAGAGAAAGCGGAAGAGTGGGGGAGATGGGATGAAACTGGGGAGGCATGGGATTGGGATAGTCACAGGTATGGGCGTCACAGAGGGGGGACGAAGAGGAGGCGAGGAGGGTGGGGGAGGAGCGGATGGAGGAGGATTAGAGGGAAGGGGGGGGAATGGATGGAGAGGAGGGCGGAGATGAGCACAGCGACAGGTGTGGGGAGACAAGGGGGATGGACCCAGGTTTAAAGGACCACTTCAATCACGGTTTCCTTTCTATCTCCCTTCTTTCCGTTTTTCTCCGGCATTTGCCTTCTCTGCTGTCTCCCCCGTGTGCTCCCTGCTGCGGTGGGTCCAGGCGACTGGCAGGGCGGAGGAAGAGGGAGGAGGAGCGTTTCAGACACAGTTTCCTTTTGCCTTCCCTTCTTTCTGTCCTCTTCCTTGTTTGCTGTCTTTGCCGTCTCCCCCGTGTGCTGCCTGCTGCTGTGGCCCCAGGCGACTGGCAGGGCGGAGGAAGAGGGAGGAGGAGCGTCGGAAGGAGGAGGAGGAGCGGGGGCACAAGAGGCGGCTCAAGGCGGCGGGGGAGAAGGAGTGGATGCGCTGTGTGCTGGGGCACATGCGCTCGCTGTGCCGCTACCACAGCCCGCAGGTATGTTGAGTTGGGTGTAGCAGGTGAAAGACCTTGTGAGTCGACTCACAAGGAGTGGATGCGCTGTGTGCTGGGGCACATGCGCTCGCTGTGCCGCTACCACAGCCCACAGGTATGTTGAGTTGGGTGTAGCAGGTGAAAGACCTTGTGAGTCGACTCACAAGGAGTGGATGCGCTGTGTGCTGGGGCACATGCGCTCGCTGTGCCGCTACCACAGCCCGCAGGTATGTTGAGTTGGGTGTAGCAGGTGAAAGACCTTGTGAGTCGACTCACAAGGAGTGGATGCGCTGTGTGCTGGGGCACATGCGCTCGCTGTGCCGCTACCACAGCCCGCAGGTATGTTAAGTTGGGCGTAGCAGGTGAGTGTAGCAGGTGAGAGTAGCAGGTGAGTGTGGCAGGTGAGAGTAGCAGGTGAGTGTGGCAGGTGAGTGTAGCAGGTGAGTGCAGGTGAAATGCCTAACAAGTCAACTCAAAAAGAGTGGATGCGCTGTGCACATGCGCTCGCTTTGCTGTTACCACAGCCCACAGGTATGTTTGGCTGGGTGTGGCAGGTGAGGTGCCACAGCCAGGTTGGGTGTAGCAGGTGAGATACCTTACGAATTGACTCAAAGAGACTGGATGCGCTGTGTGCTGAGGCACATATGGTTTCTGTGCCGCCCCTACCACATCCAGCAGGTGTGTTAGGCTGGCACAGCTAATGGCATGCTGGCCTGCCATCCATCGCACCACATGGTTCTCGTCTCGTTCCCATCCTCCGCCTCCCTTTGAGGCGCCTCAGAAGTTATTTTGAAGCGCCTCAGAAGTTATTTTGAGGTGCCTCAGAAGTCATCCAGCAGGTGTGTTAGGCTGGCACAGCTAGTGGCATGCTGGCCTGCCATCCAATGCGTCACATGGTTCTCGTTCCCATCCTCCGTCTCCCTTCACCTCAACCTCAGCTCCCTGCACCTCACTGCACCTCACTGCACCGCACTGCACCTCACTGCACCTCACTGCACCTGCCTCCACCACCAGGTGTGGCGCATGCTGCCAGCCATAGAGGCGCGAGTCTTCTCGCAGGTCCAGGACCCAGCCATCCGCGACACTCTCTTGTCCGCCCTGCTCTGCTCCTAGCCGCTGCTGCTGCCCGTGGGGGATGCTTTTCTGCTCCAGCGCGCTGCTTCTCTGTTCCTAGCTGCTGCTGCTCCGCCCCTAGCTGCTGCTGCTCTGCCCCTACCTCCTGCTGCTCCGCCCCTAGCTGCTGCTGCTCTGCCCCTACCTCCTGCTGCTCCGCCCCTAGCTGCTGCTGCTCTGCCCCTACCTCCTGCTGCTCTGCCCCTAGCTGCTGCTGCTCTGCCCCTACCTCCTGCTGCTCCGCCCCTACCTCATGCTGCTCTGACCTTAGGGCCTGCAGCTCTGCCCAAATGCGCTGCTTCGCTGCCTTGAGACGCTGCTGTTCTGCCCTTAACTGCTGCTCTGGCCCTATTGGCTAGTGCCTATATGACACTCCCTTGTGTGTCGCGTTGTCCAATTAATCAAGTGTGTGCTTCATCTGCTCATAGTACACACTGTCAGTAGCTGCTGGCCCACTTCAGGCTGATACGTACGCTTCATGCATTATCTACTAGCCACTAGTCTACAGCTACTGATTGGCTTCTGGTTGCTTGCTAGTCTCCTGTTCCACTCCCGAGGTTTCAGCAATTCACTCATGTTCACAGTGCATTGGATAAGGACTGCAATTGCAACTGGTGTATGCTGCTTGGCGTACGTATGCGATGGTGATTGCAAATCTGCAACGACAAGCATCCAAAGAAGGCAGCCTGGCTGTACAAATTGTGGCAGATTATAATATGCTATCCAGCGTGCTGTAATAACAACAGAACTACAGTACAGCATGCAAGGGGCAGTGCTAGATTAAACTAAACTAAACCTTGCCCTCGCACATCAAGGAACAGCAACACGGATTAGCCATCTTAAAGGACCTAGAAGAACTCAATACCCACTTGCCCGGCCTACAACCATGGCAGCTGGTGCTTTCTGAGATGCCTACAGCCCTAAACTCCAATCAGTGCCTCACTGAGAAGTTTTGATGACCTGCATCATGCAGATTCGAGTACCACCACAGTTGGGTCCAGCCTTGATCGTGTCACAAGCGTCAGTGTCTTATCAGTTGGGCACGAGAACGCAGTCGATGACATGCCCCTTCACATACTGCCCATTGAACAGCTTCTTGGTGTCTACCTGCGCCCAAAACAGCTGCTGCGCTCCCGGACTGCTCACCGCCACACTCGTCCCCGGATTCCAGAACCGGCTGGCCCGCACACTGTGCTTCACTATGCTCTTCCCCAGTACAGTGGGTATTTTGCTGCGGTTGGGCAGGGCTTTAAGCTGCACAAAGATATAGAACCCAGATAGAGTGTGATAGTTCACAATCTCCGCGTGACTAACTGCGGAGACACGCGGCCGAAAGGTTGCTTTTGTGAAAGCAAAGTCAGAAGGTGCGAGGAAGGTGAGCTCCTTGTAGCCTGCCGAGGAGCTAGCTTCAGAAAGTTTCTCTGGTGCGGCGAGGGGGAATTGAGGTGGGAGAGAGGGGAGAGGAAGGGATTGCAAGCATGTCAGGCGTCGTCGGTGTGGGTCGCCTCAAGTAAGGACGGCATTGAAAACTTATTGTGAACGATTTTCGATCTGGACACAAATAAGGAACTCATTACTAAAATAATTGTAATAAGAACAAAAAAACATCAACAACAACAGCACACGCACACACACACACACACACACACACACACACACACGCACGCACGCACGCACGCACGCACGCACGCACCCACACACCACACACACACACACACACACACACTGACTTCACTCACTCACTCACTCACTCACCAACTTCACTAGCGAAACTCGACACCATCGCGAAAAAGGCAAGTGCCAAAAAAAACTTAAAAGTGTCGCTTTCATAACTTTGCAGTTGCATTCTCCGCGCAAGAAAAAAGTTTGACTCAGCAACAGTGGTAGCGTCAGTAACTACAACCGTCACCTTCCCGTCACTTTCTGGCAACAACGTGTGCAGATTCCCGCATCCGCCACGCAAGTGTACAGGCAACTTCACAACTGGAATACAGTAACCACACACGTTACTCGGATGGTCACCATAACGTTGCACCGCAACCACCCACCTCACATACCTCCCAGTAACCAAAACATGCGGCGACGTACACGTGCCCACGTGTACCTGAATTTCAACCATACCTGCCACGTAAGCGTACACACCCACTACATGCCGAACCTACCACAGCCGCACGATTACGCACCACCACACCAACTATGCACCGTTCACGTGTAAACAGCTCCGCGAGTCGCCAATACTGTTACAATACCTCCAGCCAAACGAGTACCATAGATCAGGGTAGTGCATACCACATCCAGCCCGTCCATTCTCCATGCATTGTATGCCTCGCACCACTACCCCCCTGCCACGTGCAACTCACAACGTCCATTGATACAGAACTACCACGCGCCATCTCACCACCTGCTTGTCCCACGTGTCCTCAACACCCGCCATCGTACTATGTGTTACCCCTTCTCGCAGCTACCTCGCATGCGTAGCCCAACCACTTGCACGCGACCATGTTCTACACCCTACGTAGCATCAACAACTCATAGGCTGCCACGTATCAGCCACTGTTTAGGGAGATCTCACCGGCGATCGCAAATGCGTGCGGCAGCAATTCGCACAGCCCCTACGCGTCGCATCACCACCTTCAGACCTCACAGGGTTGGTGCACGACACCCGCGACCACGGGCGTGGCAGTTGGGCCACGTTGAGGTTTCGCACCGCTCGTAACATGGTCGCCTGCACCACACTTCCAGTGTCGCACAACACGCATCACCAAACACCAGCTGTCCACGGAGGACGGGAACGATCCACCCCTCCACCGCCACGCGTCACTTTCACACATTCCACAAACGCCACCATGCCAAGCACACAAACACCGTGCCGACAAATGGGGCCTCGTCAACTGTTCGAACCAACCACGGCAATCCACGTGTTGCTGTCAAAGTAGGCGGATCCCAAACCATTGGGGTTTAGGGTGAGCACTCCGTCAAACGCAGCGACATTTGCGGTGCACATGACGCGCGCCCCGGAAAATTTGGTTCAATTGGTCCTAGCCAACCAGCATTGCCCGCCGATGTCTGTCTGGATGGATATTGACCCCGTCATGTCCATTACACACACTCAAAACAAGCATACAAGAACAATTACCAAAACCGTCTACCGCGCAACAAACACCGTAAACTGCAACAGAAATCTAGTCACCTACAAACCCCAAACCAGCCGCACGTATCTCAATAGCGCACGCAAAAGCAACATCACCTCCCACCACGGCAAGGTCTATGCCCACCAACAGCCCGTCCTCCCCCTCCCCGCCGCTCTACACACCCCCGACAGACACCGACTGCACATCGTTCCCGGCGGCGTCTCCTCCGCTAGCGCCTGCATTGGGCTTCATGCTCTCAAGCCCACATGCAGAAAGGCGGAGGCCATGGCGTCCCCATATCCACTCCTCTTTCTCCTCGTCGTACTCTGGATTGAAGTGACGGATGGCCTGTGAAACGGAGCCCTTCACAAGCACCTTGAGCCCGTTCACCACGTGGCCGTTCCCCCCCGCCGAGTTAGAGAGACGGCCCATCCTCTGCTCCCAGTACATGATGCTGTTAGACACCTGACAGGAGATTCACACCGCGCACACATTGTAAGCCTACAGCCCAGGCGAGGAGTAACCACCAAATTTAAACATTGTCACTCACCACGTGCTCTAGCCACGCAAGGTGGTACACCTTCAAAGTGAGCGGCAGTGCAGCCTTCTTCGGAATGAAGGCAGCCTTTGCGCACGCCGCAAACGCCGCAGAAGCAAAGGGCATCCCGTCGCGGTCGTTAGCCCAGTTGCTCAACACCAGATCATCTGCACACCGCCGACAGCTCGGACGAGTAAAAAGACTACACCCAAGCACGCAACCGTCACCAATGTGTAGAAGCGCCTGAACACCGCTTACCGCTCTCATCCGCTCCGAGCCCAATGCGCTCGCGAATCTGCTCCAGCGTCCGTGCGTTGTCCCTTGCCCACGGGCTTGCCTCGTCGCGCTCGTCCCGGAAGAATCCAAGCTTCGGGAGCGCAATGTCCCGGACCCGTGCTGCAGCCCTTGTCTTCCACTCGCTCAGCGTCTTGTTAAGGTCCGCCCGTCGGGACTTGTCCGCTGCCAGCGCGAGACACGCGAAGCTATGCGGCAGGCGGTCAAGCACTGCGCAGACGCCATAAGTCTTGTCGTCAGAGCTCGGATAGAAAGTCATGGTTGCGGCCGGCTTCTTCAGGAACAGCTGCACGCGGACCAACTCGCATAGTCGCTGCACACAAGTCAGGAACCACCGCAAACACTGAATGAGAACAGTGCTCCACCAAAGGGCATCCCCCTGCAGACTGCGCCAGCCCATACAGTAATGTTTCCCGTCTGCTAGCACAACCCACCTTCCAAGCCTTGTCTGCTGGCAGCAGATCAAGTGCGCGTTGCAGAACAGGCGACTTCGCAGACCGCATATGTTTGCGCCGCGTGCGAATCTGTGCCACGTCCTCGAAGTCGTCGTCGTCGTCCACCTCATCGTCATCGTCCTCAACCTCAGCCACAGCCTCGCCACGACGCTGGCGCTTTGGGTTCATGCATCCCTGTCCCGGCTCCCTCTGCCGCTCTGCTTTGCGGCGACGAGATCCCCCATCGGACTTCGCCAGTGCCTCCAAAAGCAAGGTTTCCAAGCGGGCAACCTTCTTCGCGCTCTCGTCTTGCGACTTAAGCAGGCTCCTGAATACTCCCGCGGAAACGCGCACCTCCTCTCCATTGGTTGGGACATCAGCGTTCTCGCGGTTCGTGTTGGTTTCGAACATCGCGCGCATCGCGTCGCCCACATCCTCGTCATCCTCCTCTTCGAAAGCGTTGACGTCGCTCTCGATGCGTGCCTGGTCGCCCCCGTCAACGTCCTCGCCTCGATTCCGGAGAGCCAGACGCGGATCAACGTCGCTCTTGGAACGCGAATCTGGCGAGTCACTCTCCGCCGCTTGCTTGCCTACTCTGCCGGGAGAAGCGTCAGATGTCTCCCCCCCCCTAGTCTCTGAAGTGGTGGGAATGTAGACGGACGAGAATGTAAGTTCGAGGGTTCAAAAGCTCCATTGCGGAAGGAAGGGGAATGCCAACGGATTCAAAAGCATACGAGACTGTAAACGCCTCAGTTCTTTGGAACAATTCGAGCAACATCACCAGCACCCGTGATTACCATCACCAGCAGATTTTCCGCCACCTCCCGCTCTGGTAAACGTCAAACGCTTAGGCAAAGCAGTTCCCCGAGTCCCCCTTGCCATGCGCCCACGAGGAGTTGCAAGCTGATATGCCGCGCGCAGGTACGCCGGAGGCTGGGACACTCGCCGTGCACGCCCCAAGTTGCCAGTATCTTCGGAAGCAAGGGAAGTCTCCATTGTGCCCAGTTGACAGTGTTTGAGTGCACCGTACGCATTCCTTAGTGCTCGGATTGATATAGCAAAGTATACGGTACCCAGTGAACATTGCTCAACAACGGAAACACCCATTGTGAAAACCGTTCCCTCCAATCAAATTAAAGGCAATCTCAGACAACCACTCGGAAACAACCTCCACGATTTCTGTCATCTTTGACAGCGAATACGCATCGGCCACAGATCCCCGTCATCTTTTGTCCGAAAACCCGTCCTCATATGTCTGTTTCGCTTACTCCGTCTTCGGTACACTTGCTATCATGCAAATTCGTAACACCTCCACATTCAACTCCAGATATCATTTACTAGCAAAATAGTACAGACACGATAGATTTCACATACTTTCCACACACATGCAAACATCAGTCGGGTACGGATGCCTTTTTCTATCCCACGGTACACTCTCATTTCCCACTGATATCCCAAGCACCATCCTTCTGCCTCCCACGACCAGCTTCATCTGTCTTGTCATCCGTGGACTTTGCATCGGCACTGCGGAGCCTCCCAAGCGCCCTGCTGTTGGTTGGTTCGATGGCAACGATCTCAGTGTCCTCACTTCCAGCCTTCTCTCCTTCACCCTCTCCTGCCGTGCCACCACCCTGCGCACCACTCTCCTTTCGCGGTCTCCCCCTTTTAGCAGGCGTTGCATTCTTCTTGGCCCGCGCTGCCTTCCGCATCACACCTTCGTACGCCTCCCTCCATACCCTCCAGCGCCACCACATGCGGGCATCCACCAGGACTTTTAGGACTTCAGGAGTGCACCCCTTCAAAGCTGCCCTATCCGCCGGTGTTAAAGCCACAGAGTTCCTGGTGCCCATGCCTGGCCTCAGCACGTGGGCTGCTGCCGCGTAGCAATACGCTGCCTCCTCTATCGTGGTGTAAGCGCCGACTCTCTTCGTTACCTTCTTTCCGTCCTTGTCCTTGGCGACAACCTTCACCCCAAACTTGCCTGTATCGGCCTCCACATACACCCCGGTGTACTTGGTCGGCTTTGTTCCTGGCTCGGTCTCCCCCTCTCCGTCCTCGTCAGAATCCTCTCCTCCGGCCAAGGGCTCCTGCTTAGGCACAGCTGTGAAGCCGGGGTGTGCGCCCGCACCGCTCTGCGCGATGCCGTAAACAGGATAGGATGGCTGGACTAGTGAAACCGCAGCTCCCTGCTGGCGCGACAACAGCCAGTGTGGAACCGTCCCGGGGATCGGCAGATGTGCCGGGAAGCAGGGGTACGCTCCAACGGCTGACGCGAACTTGCTGTCGAGCGACACTCTCGTGTTGGAGCCCACCAGATCCTCGTCAGGGCTGTCGTTCAGCTGCTTCGTGTATCCTGAAGGCCGTACAGGAGTGGTTGGGCCGTGCTTGCGCGGATCATTACCTCCCGCTCCCTGCACAGCGCAGGCAGGCTTCTGCAGCATGTTTTCGCCGGCAGAGATCAGCTCCTCCCTCGACATCCCAAGCACCTGCCCAATTGCGGCGAATCCTGCAGTCATCGCACCGACCTCGCGCTTCAAGGAGCACACCTCCGCCTCGAGCCGGTCCACACGTCTTTGCTCTGTGTGTTGTCCGTCCTCTGCACCCTCCTTCAAAGTCGTGTTGGTGGTGGTGCCGCTTTCCTGAGAAGGAACATCCACGCCATCTTCCTCTAGCCTCCGGAGCAACTCCCCCATAGCGTGTGCGCATATATCAGCGCGCATGTTGCGGCGGTACTGCAGCGCGCTGACCCCTTTGAACCACAGGCCACTCTTCAAGTTGGCGAAGTCGGAGTAGACCAAAACTTTCAAGTAGTGGCAGATGAAGACTCCGCAGTCAAAACCATTCTCTTGCTTAGGGATGTGGTTCGCCTGCACACAAAGAATCCGCACACCGGGTAGCCGCTTTTCACCTTATAAACCTCAACTGCCTAACACCAAAAACACCAGAACAGCCGCCCTTACCGTGAGGACATGACAGGGAACGTCCTTCAGCAGCAGTTCAAAATTCGACATGTCCACATGTGGGTGCGTCTGCTTGGCGAGAGTTGTCAGCAACCTGCATCACGTCTCATATGAGGAACCCGGTTACATCCACGCCGGTGTTAACAACCACCATATTACGGCTTATGCTACAAACACTTACAGCTTCACGCCACTGAAAACCTTCTGTGTACTCATGGGGGCCTTGGAGCTGTCGAACAACACCATTTCCAGCGGAGGGCTATCCTTCCTTGCCATCTTATCCACCAGACGGTGGGGTGATACGACTATCACCAATGAGTAGTGCTCTCTGCAGGGAGGCAAGCGGCAGTAAACGGCAGTGTTTAGTACGGCCGATGAAGAATGCATGCAACTCACGGGTGTTGCTGAACTACTCAAACAGCTCGATGATTACCCCCTGTAGACCGGGACCGCCAGGTAGTCGTGCTCGAGGAGAGGCAGGCCGTTTCCAGCATTGACGGGAGTATTGTGCACAGTGGTGTTCGCGAAGTTGTTGCAATCGACAGCCGCCCATGTCTTCCCGTTTGACAGTTTCGGCACTCGGATGCTTAGTAGCCTGGAAACACACGCCGGACATGTTGGAAAGTCGGCATAAAGGGAGGGCATCGGATCCTCCTGCTGCGATTTTTCATGTAAAAAAAAAAAAAAAAAAACGTGCACCTAGCCGGGCGAAACCGTTACTCACACGTTGTGGAAGTCTATCACCCCGTCAGTCACCCATGTGTTGTCCGCGATGGAGGCGAGATCCTTCTTGTCGACTGTGCTGACCACGTCGCGATGGTTCTTGAGCTCCACGTTGCGATATTCGACTTTGTAATAATTCTTCTCCAACGCCGCCACCAAATCGTCGGGCTGCGGGAGTTCAACAGGCGTGCTGGCTGCACCGTCAGCGACTTCCATGGTCTTTCCCTTGTCATCCTCCACCGCCCGTCGTTGCCTTTTTTTGTTAGAGCCGGCGGCCTTTCCCTTACGCGACCTTGTCGCACGCACTTCTCTTATCTCGGACTCGGAGCAGCCGCTCGATTCTTGGCTGCCGGTGTGCGCGTTTTTCGGAGGCATGGTTGGCGCGGGATGAGGGGAAGGATGCGATTTCAGAATCAGGTGTACTAGGGCCCGGCCACGGTTCCCACGGTAAACTAAAACCGTTAGGGTTCTCCTGCGAACGAATTTGGGAAAGCGCAATAGCCCGTGGCAAGAAGGCAGCAAAAGTGGTCACATCCCCCGATGGATGACAGATCTCCAGTTAGGGTTACTCGAGGTTCGTCGCATCATGCACAGGTCACCGAGATGATGACAGCTGGGCACCGCAGAATGGTCTGGAATAGTTGGATGAGTGCATGTCATTGCTCCGTAGCCAGCACGACATCGAGAGGCTCCTAATAACGGGGGTGCGTGTATGACTTGTTTTATATCAGGCATTTTCAATTCGAAATGGAGTGTAGCGTCGATAAAGTAGTGGTCCAGTTGGTAGGGCCAACTCCCATTTGTTTCGACTTATGATGATATAAAGTGATACGACAATGCACAAACGCGTACATCTGGCTCGTGACGTAAGGTACGAAATTGGCACTTCCTCGCACGAATTGCTAGTACACCGCTGTGGGCAAGGTGTAGACACGGGGCCACCTGGCCAGTGTAGCAGTGATCAAACAGTGCCGGATGGGAAAGCCCCTGTTTACGGGATGCGTACGTGGGAGCACGTGCACATATACGCGGCATGTAAAGTCTCGTTGAAGATTTGTAATATAATAGCGCTTATAATGGGCTGACAGTTTCTGCTATTGTTTCGTGGCAAAATTAACGTAGGTAAATACTATCAATAGTAAACGGATAGAGTTGCACACTATTTGTTTGCTTCAACGACGTAGTCTTATACACATATCGTCTATCTTCACATGGCTATTTATGAACAACCAAGTGTATTCTTACGTACATGTAGTGTGTACGAAGCACTGACGCCTCATATGTTGCCGCGCACGGCCGTGGACGATATGAAAACCGACTACCTCAACCATTGCTAGTGGTCGGATTAGGGTTTGTAGCAAGTCCGAGATGACGGGAAACAAGTGCGGAGTGTGCGGTAAGGAATTTCCTAGCGACCGTGACTTGCAGTCTCATCTCTCAGACAGAACGAAATGCGGGGACTCGTTGAAGAGAAATCTCGAGCAGCTTATGTTTGATGCTTACCTGAACGCGCTAAACAGTGTTGGGCAAAAACGCCAGCGCAGCCCTGCTACGACTGGGGCCAAAACCAACCCTATACCTACGAACTTGCCGCCAGAGGGCTCACCGCCGCAGGCGACGGAGGCAGATCATGAGGCGGACGATGGCGACTCAAAAAGCTCTACTTCTTCGGAGGACAGCGACGTCTCCGACTTCTTCGACACGCTCACGGAGCTGTACCTGTTTTTCCGTGACGCGGACTTATCACGCCGTGAAGTCAACAGACTGCTTAACATATTCCGTAACCCTCAGTTCAGTTTGAAGGAATTACGCAAGTGGCGCAGCTACGCCGACGTGAAGCGATGGGGGAAAGAGCGTGCGCCGCCAGATATGGTTCCATGGAAAACAGAGCATATCGTCGTGCACGGGCCCAGAGGAATGTCCCAAAAGCTTCTCTTGCACTTCCGCGACACAGAGCTGGTGAGCTTGTCGTCATCTGCGTACCGCCCTTATTCGGCTTAGGTGTTGTGACAGATGGCGTGTAACGTGCCTATCTATATTTGTTTTGTTGCGCATGCTTGCTATGGCCATGCTCTGATGTGCAGCTTGTGAAGAAGCTAGTCCGCATTTTTTCGCGGAGGAAGGGTTTCGTGTGGAAGCCACAGGAGAAGTACAACGAGAAGGGGAAGCGCGTTTTCGAGGGGCCAGAAACAGGCACGTGGATGCACGAGGCGCAGGTGCGTTGCCTGGCTGAAACAGTGCATGTCCGATGCAGGGGCGTGGTACTGTAATAACCACCTCGGTGTGTGCGTGTGGCAGAAAGAGATCAAGGACGACAAGGCTCTGATTCTCGGGGTCATCGTGTACAGCGACAGCACTCAGGCGTCGCGCAACGGGCGGCGGAATGCGTGGCCTGTTCTGATATCGCTTATTAACATTCCGGAGGAATTGAGGTGGTTTGAGCCGGGCCACACTCTTGCGGCAGTGTTGCCATTCTGTCCGGAATGGGCTAGTCCGACAGAGAAGGCCCGTGTTTTCCAGGAGGCCCTGGAGATCATCCTAGGACCCCTGATGCGGGAAACCGCAAGGTACGTTTGGCGGCATGTGTGTTGGTTCTTCACGCGGTATACGCGTTGCTTGTGACGTACTTGTGATCCGTTACCTATTCGAAATCCCTTTCTGTATCCAGTGCTCCTGTGAGGTACTTTTATGTGACAGACGCCACCGGCAATGTGGTCAAGGCGGTACCTTGCCTCTATGGGTACCCTGGTGACTATCCAGAGAACAGTAGGGCCTCAGCCACGCTGCAGACGGGCACTCATCGCCCCTGCGCTAACTGCGAGCACGGCGCACCATCACCTTGACTCAGTCACACATGGTGCAGCAGATCCTTCAGCGCTTCCGCTTCACGTACTCCTCGCCTCAGTCCACTCCTCTGCCTACCGGTCATTCGCTCTCAGCTCTGCCTTCGGATGAGTCCGTAGAGCCGAGTGGCCCGTATCCAGAGCTTGTGGGCTGCCTCATGTACCTGATGACCTGCACTCGACCTGACCTTGCATACCCTCTTAGCATCCTTGCACGCTATGTCGCTCCTGGCCGTCACAGGAAGGAGCACATGGATGCCGCTAAGAGGGTGTTGCGCTACTTGTGCAGTACGTCGGGCATGGGGCTAGTGCTTGGAGGGCGAGACCGAGTTGTACTTACTGGACACTCAGACGCTTCTTGGGCGGACGACCAGGCTACTCAGCGGTCGTCTCAGGGTTACACCTTCAGCCTTGGCTCCGGCTCAGTTTCTTGGCGTTCTACACGCTCTTCTTCTGTTCTCAGCTCCAGTTGTGAGGCTGAGATCTACGCCACAGCCATGGCTGCCCAGGAGCTACGCTGGCTGACCTACCTGCTGACCGACTTGGGAGAGCGGCCTCGTTCTCCTCCAGTGCTGTACGTCGACAACCAGGCTGCCATTGCCTTGTGTGAGGAGCACAGACTGGAGCACAGAACGAAGCACATCGCCCTGCGGTACTTCCTTGCTCGAGAGCTGCAGCAGCGTGGTCAGCTTCGTCTGCGTTACGTGGCCACTGAGGCCAACCTTGCTGATGTGTTCACCAAGGCGCTTCAGCCTTGTGACCATCAGCGTTTCTGTACTCTTCTAGGCCTTGTGCCTGCTGGACCTCACTTACTTACTTCTTGACTCTGCTTGTACTGTGATCTTTATATATATGCCTGCATGTTTACACTTGCTAGGTTGTGATCACTGTATCTCTTGCTATATTATCAACCTGCATGTGAACTGGTCTTGTGACCACTTGCTTGTGCTCGGAATTTGTGTGGTATCCTTGAGATCCACCCTGAGCTTGTTTTGCTTTGCTTTGACTGGTCTTGTGACCCCTTGCTCTCCCCCACTTTGCCTATGGGGGTGTGTCAAACATTATATATGTTGTGTTTGTTTAGGCTACAGTGGGTTAGCCTATAGGGGGTACACAATTCTAGGGTTAGGTACTTGTACTGATTTCACTGCTAGTTCAATCATTCCTGTCTGTTGATTTCGACATTGTCCACGTATGCCCATCGTACAGCAACCCTCGTCTGCTGCTGGTTAACAAGTTTCTACTCTGCGAGTAATTGGAGTAGGGCTGTGTGTTTGAAACTGAGGGAAGGTGGTTTTGTTACACTCCTAGAAGGGGTGGAATTGTGGGATTGTGGCATGTAGGGGTGCATGGGAACCTGGGTAAGGGAAGGAGAGTGCGCAAAAGAATAGTACGCAGGTCTCATGCTTTGATTTGGTGGGCTTGTGTGGTGGGAATGTGGGATTTTGAAAATGCACCGTCATACTGGAATTTTGGCGGCCGGTGTGTGGATTGAGGCAATGCTTGTAACGGATTTGGTTATTACGGTTGTTGGTTCAGGGCACTGGTGTGCGGATTAGGGTTTTGTGGCTGTAATGCAGGGACACTCTTGTTAAGGAATCCAATTGGATATGTGGCTGGGGCTAATGGTTCGATGTTCGGATTTCTAGTGCGTGTGACTGGCAGGTGCGCATTTGTGTGACGTGTACGACATCAGAGGTTGACAGGTTGGGCCAATGGGAACTGCGCAATTGTGTACCTGGCATTTAGTGGACAGTGTACAGTTGGAGAGCGATTCAGTGGTTGCTGCACATGTGGAGCGCCTAAAAGGCAGCACATGTGGTGGTGGAGAGTACGGTTTGGGCTTTTGGTGGATTATTTTGGGGACGTCCACCATTTCATCTCCAGCGTCCCACACGTTGTCCGGGGTGTGCTGGTGGCCAGTATGAGCTCGGTGAAGCCCCCGTTGAAGGACATCGTACAGAAGCTGAAAGTGCTCCCCGACGATGTGTTTCTGTTTGTGGAGATACCGTTTATGCCCAGCCGGTTGCCGAAGACCAAGATACCGGGGAGGAACGGAACCCCGTGCGACCGGATCATAAGTGTCGGCTTCTTGTACAATGCGACGGGGACCTGCACCACGGTGCCCCTTGTGGTGTTGCGCCATGACGAGCGCCCCGAACCTAGGCGCAGCGGGGATCCTGCACCGGCGGTGATTGTGCGCTACACGAAGAGTGGGCGCCTCACACCCGAGGTATGTGGGCAGATTTCGAGTGGACTCCCACCAGCACATGTGTATAATGTTGTGGCTGCATGTCGGTCGTGTTTCTGTGTGATACCCTAATTCCGCGCTGGCGCTGTCGTGGCTTGGCGGTGCGCAGGTGTTTACCGAGTTTTTTCAGACGGTTGATGGGGTGCAGCTTAGCCGTGGAAGGAAGACGGTTGTGTTCACCTACAACACGGCGCACCGCATTACCGCGAATGACGCGGAGACCACGGTGGAGCATGGGCTGACTATGGTGCATTTCACGCACACACGCTTTGTGGACCTGACAGACGTTGTGCACTGGTCCAGTATGCCGTTTTTGCACGGCGTGGTGGACGCTTTCAAGGCTGAGTATCGTGTGATACTGATGAGACGCGCGGTGCGGTCCAATCTGTTCCACGAGGATTTCGAAGCGCCGTTTTCCCTGGTGAATTACGGTGTTATGCTGCTGTGGGTGGGCTTGGCATGGAAGGCGCTGACGGCGGCAACGATGCAAAGGAGCTGGTGGAGGGCGGGATGCGTCCCGGAGTCATGGTGGGAGCTGATGTGGCACCTGCACGGCATGTACTCGGCCGGCATGTACGATCCCCTGGTCTCTACCACGGCGGACCTCCTGGTGCTGCTACGTGAGTTCCGTGTGCGGCCGGCTATTTATATGCCGGTGTCCGATTACGTGACATGCGATGAGTGGTTAATGGAGAAGGCTGGTGTGAAGTTGGTGACGCCCACGACGCCGACGTCTTCAGGGGACGAGGGCGAGATGTGCCTGCCGGATGGGCCTCTGATGCGTGACGAACGAAGCCGACGACGTGCCATCCGCAATGTGACGAACGCGTACGTGTGTCACGCGGAGGCGCTGGGGATTGCTCCTGCGGAGGTGGCGACTGTCGTTGGCGCCTCTGATGGAGAGGTGGTTAGCCGCCTAAGCCGCACACCGAAGAAGCGAGCGCGCAGTTCGGGGTCGTCGGATAGTGGGTCCGTGTAGTGCGCTTGGTTTTGATGCTGTAGTGGGTGGGGGGAGTGTTTGTTGGAGGGCATGCCTCGAAGGGTGGGCTCATCTTTGTAGTTGTGGTTGCTGGTTGACAGTAGGGTTTGGTTTTGTGTGATGTTGTACTTTGTATTGCTGAGTGCTGGAGTTGCAAGCGAATGACACGGTTTACACATTATGAAGTAGACGGTGTGCAGAGCAGTGTAGTTTGGTTTGTTCAGTATATACAATTGCTCGGAGTAGGTGTGCATTTATCGTTTCTGTGGTCCCTGTAGCGGGGGAGGGGCGACACGACAATACCGAGTATGTGTGGCGTTTTTGGCTCGAGCCGCATGTGTTCGAGGCGCATTCGTGGAGGCGGCGCGGATAATGGCGCAGGTGACCCCAAAGTGACATTTTGGTGGCGGTAATGTTGTGGTCCAGTGTGCGGTTATTGATCGCGCCAATGTTGCGTTTTACGGTCCTTGTTTTTCGGACACTTGTCGCAACAATCACGCAAGCCCCACGCAGAAAAACCTTCGGACACCCCAAAACGCAATTTCCCTTTTCCGCGATGACGGCTTTCGCCATGATGCTACAACCTTGCTTCTTGAGCCTCGAAGCGAGCGTCTTCAGCTCCGCGAGATACGCCGCCTTGGTCGGCGAAACCGTTCCTATCTGAGCCGACGCCGTCGGGGACAACGAGAGTAGCAGCAGGCAGAGAATTGCGCACCACGGCGCGTGCGAGCGCCAGTGCTGCGGCGAGGCAACCGCCATATTAATAGTACGAGTCGACTCAAAACTAGTATTATATATTGGCTTGTAAGTATTAGGGATCTATCGATTGCTGTGCGTAGTAGCTTAGAAGAGTTGAGCACCTGGTATAAACGGCTTGCTAGGCGGCGAGCACGAGAGGCATCATGTGCATCGCAAACTTCGAAATGAGAGTAGGAGCAACAAACTGAGATTTGGATGATTTGCACTCAGAGTCTTTCTTTCGAGGGTGCCGCACAACCTGTCACCTCGACGTGTATCATGAAAATCGGCGCAGCTGGTGCCTGCAGGAAGAAGGCAACGTCCATTCTTCCTTCCATGTCTTGTGATTCAAGCAACAACGCGGTTGCGGCTCGGGAATGTTGACTATGTGCAATGTGAGCGCGATTGGTGAATTGTGAAATGTTTGTTGTGTCAGAATTCCAGCCACTAACCACTGGGATAAAAGGGCTTGTTTATGTAGCGGGTGAGTGCGCCCATAACCCCCCAGGCCAACGTGCCTGTAACCCTTCCCTAGGATCAATCGGGGATCACCAGTGGACCTCTGACACCCCCCCGCACTGGGATGCCCGAGGTGCACACACCGGGATTCGAACCCAAGACCTTCGCTCTGATACCATGTCAGAATCCCAGTCACTAACCACTGGGATAAAAGGGCTTGTTTATGTAGCGGGTGAGTGCGCCCATAACCCCCCAGGCCAACGTGCCTGTAACCCTTCCCTAGGATCAATCGGGGATCACCAGTGGACCTCTGACATGTTGGATCAGACATTGTTGTGCTCTTCGCATGTCAACATTTGTTTGTCACAAGTGCGCGTGCGCATTGGACATGTCAGCTTGGTGGTGGCGACCCGAAGCGCACCTGATTTGGTAGGCCGATCATTGTAGCATCAGTGTCTTTGTTGAAGCGTATCAGCGAAGATTAGCGACGCAAGATCATTGGTTAAAAGCAATTCGTGTTCCTTCCTTAGGGATTTCGTGCAGCGACATGTCAACGAAAAGTCTGGAATCCATACCATTTCACTCAACGAAAGTCAACGCTAAAATAGTAGGTTCAGTATTGACGAGTCAGCCTGCTCCTTGGGGCTAGCTCGAACCTTAGGACGCGTCACCTCCCTCGATCGATCCTGCGCAGGATCGATATTTGATTGGGGTAAATAAGTTTCCCAACAGTTTTAAATGCAACACTCAGGATTTTAGTGCGGTGGACGATCGATATTCCTTGATTTTGCACGATCGATCGAGGGAGGTGACGCGTCCTTAGTGCCACCTCTTCACAGTCTCATGTCATGATATTGCGGTACCCTTAGCTTCTCTCGCTATATATTCTCGTGCAATCACGTACACTTGTTATCTTTTGCCCTCTAAACACTACTGGTATGTATCTAGAGCCCAATCCTTTCTTATTGCAAAAGCTTCCTCGGATTCCTCCCCTACTTATAAGATTGTATTGTTTTGCCTTACTTTGACTTTGTTTTGTTCTGTTCTGTTCTGTTCTGTTCTGTTCTGTTTCGTATCGTTGCAGCCGGTTGCTAATATTCCTTGCCACTCTGGCGTCACTCTCATGTTGACATTGCATGAAATGGGGATCTCATGTGATATGCCGATTGAAACATGTGATTGTTGTCAATAATAATGGAGTAACCTAGGCTTAGGTGAAACCCTAGCCTAGGTGATAGCCGAGAGTAGCGGGAGGGGGAATTGGGCAAAGAGGGGTAGTTCACTATTGAGGAAGGTACAAATAGGAAACACAGCATGCAAAGGTGTACCACCAACAGTTCATAGTAGTAACTACAGTAACTAGCGTAAGCAGGATATAACATAACTTGACACACCCCCTTAGCCTGCTTGCGGTAGGAACTGGTGCAGTCGGCACCCCCTGAAAGAGTAAACAAAGCGCTGTGGAAGAAGGCAGAGAAGTGAGGAAGGACGTGGAGGCGAGAGGAGAGAAGAGGAGAGGAGGTGGGGGGCCAGTGCCGGCGGACCCGCTTACGAACCTCCTTTTACAAAGGGGAGGTGAGAGAGGAAAGGGAGAGGAGGTGGGCTAGGTGGGCATGAGCGCGCAAGCTCATAGCGATCCCCCCCCGTTAATAACCCCCAAGTCCCGATGAGGAGAGGAGGTGGGCTAGGTGGGCATGAGCGCGCAAGCTCATAGCGATCCCCCCCCGTTAATAACCTCCAAGTCCTCACCCCCCTTGTCACTCAACCCCTTGAACCTCACACCCTCCGGACCTTTCTACTTTCGCCACCCCCTCACCCTTCTCCACTTCTCCCCCCCCCCCCTTTTCTCCACAGCGACATCTCTGCAGGAAGAGAGAGGGGAGGGACGGGCTGCAGGCAGCTCACACCCGCCACCCCCACATCTCCTTCTCCCCCCCCCCCCCCCCACGACGGAAGCCGCGGAAGGGAGGGCGGGGGGGGGGGGGCGGGGCAGCGGTAGCTGCTGCTGGCGCTGACTGTGGCGCAGGCGGCTGGCCACGGCGCTGGCGTCCGCGCTGGCGGGCCGCGCTGGCGACGAAACGGGGGGCCGCGGGCGACGGGAACGGGGGGCCGCGGGCGACGGGAACGGGGGGCCGCGGGCGACGGGAACGGGGGGCCGCGGGCGACGGGAACGGGGGGCCGCGGGCGACGGGAACGGGGGGCCGCGGGGCGAGGGAACGGGGGGCCGCGGGCGACGGGAACGGGGGGCCGCGGGGTGACGAAACGGGGGGCCGCGGGGCGACGGAACGGGGGGCCGTGGGCGACGGGAACGGGGGGCCGCGGGCGACGGGAACGGGGGGCCGCGGGCGACGGGAACGGGGGGCCGCGGGCGACGGGAACGGGGGGCCGCGGGCGACGGGAACGGGGGGCCGCGGGGCGACGGAACGGAGGCCGCGGGACGACGGACGCTACGGCCGAAGAGCGCGACGGGACGAAGAAAAAAGTAGCGCATTTCGCGCTGCAGGAAAGGCGGGCCCATGTTACTTTTAAAAAAAGAGAAGATTCTAGGAAAGAACCAGCTCTGACACCATGTCAAGAATAATGGAGTAACCTAGGCTTAGGTGAAACCCTAGCCTAGGTGATAGCCGAGAGTAGCGGGAGGGGGAATTGGGCAAAGAGGGGTAGTTCACAGAATGCCGGTCTAAACCGTGTTGGTGGGCACTGAGGGATAGTAACGGAAAGTGTCTAACTTCTTAGGGCCAGTGTCCCAGTCAGCATCACATGCCTGGGATTCAACCACATCCCCAGAATTCACCCACAAGCTAAGCATTCACCCTCATACCCAGCACACACCCACGTGCCTGGCATTCACTCACCCCACATGCCCGGCACACACTAACGTGCCTGGCATTCACTCACCCCGCATGCCCGGCACACACCCACGTGCCTGGCATTCACTCACCCCACATGCCCGGCACACACTAACGTGCCTGGCATTCACTCACCCCGCATGCCCGGCACACACCCACGTGCCTGGCATTCACTCACCCCACATGCCCGGCACACACTAACGTGCCTGGCATTCACTCACCCCGCATGCCCGGCACACACCCACGTGCCTGGCATTCACCCACATACCCGGCACAGTCACGTGCCCGACACTCACCCACAGCAACTGTTGCACTCAGAGACTTCACTGGCTTCAAGTTGCATGTCGTACTGTATGCATAAACGGTAAGTATAGCATTGGTAGGCTGCAGCATGTTTCATTCTAAAGGCGTCAGCTGGGAGCGGGAACAGAGTAAATAACATGCATGCTTTTTGCGGTAAAAAAACCAACTCCGTCAAGACCCCGTTTCATGTTGCAAGAGTCAGTCAGTTAGGCACGAGAACGCAGTCGATGACATGTCCCTTCACATACTGCCCATTGAACAGCTTCTTCGTGTCCACCTGCGCCCAATACAGCTGCTGCGCACTGGGACTGCTCAACGCCACACTCGTCCCCGGGTTCCAGAACCTACTGGCCCGCACACTGTGCTTCACTATGCTCTTCCCCGCCATAGTGTGTATCTTGCTGCGGTTGGGCAGGGCTTTAAGCTGCGCAAAGCTGTAGAGCCCTGTTACGATGTGATAGTTCAGAAGCTCTGTTCGATTGGCAGCAGTGACACGCGGCCGAAAGGCTGCCTTTGCAAAAGAGTAGTCGGACGGTGCGAGGAAGGTGAGCTCCCGATAGCCTGTAGAAAAGGCAGCGTCAGGAACTTGCTCTGATGCGGACAAGGAGGGGGACGGTGAGGTGGGATGTAGGGAGGAGCATTTATATCATGTCAGGTCATGGTATGAACAACGTGAGTTCTGGATGTCGCATCCAAAGGAGACAACGCAAAATTCATCTGCCACAGACACACACACACACACACACACACAGAGAGAGAGAGAGAGAGAGAGAGAGAGAGAGAGAGAGAGAGAGAGAGAGAGAGAGAGAGAGAGAGAGAGAGAGAGAGAGAGAGAGAGAGAGAGAGATAGGTCTGGGGAGGAAGGAGAATGGAGGAAAAAAACCACTTGGTGGCAAAGGAGAGGTGAGGAAATGGGAGGGTGGGAAAAATGCAGGAGCGCCCTGAATCAGTTGTCTACAAAAGGCGTGCTCAGCAGGACTCGAACCTGCGCGGGCAGAGCGCATCAAAAATTATTTAAATGTACAGTTATTCAGCAGGCCCGAGCGTTAGCTCGCCATACATCTGTTTCTCGGCCTTACAACCGCGCGTATCTGGCAGGCTGAATTTGTTTTATCAAAATTTTATAGACATACCCATGTTCAACCACTCTATACTATGCTGTTTATCACTGCGTGTTCTTACAGCCGAAGCCACCCTGGCGCGAAACAGGGTGTATTCTGCAGCAGGACGATACAATACGTCTTTTTTGCAGTAAAGAGCGTCAACAACACGTGACCTGGACTCAAAAGAAGAAAAGGGTTAAAGAAACACTTACCTACTTGTCCGATGAATTCCGTTACGCCTCGCGCTATTATGCTACAGCCTTGCATCTTAAGCCTTGAAACGAGGGTGTTGAGCTCCGCGAGATACTCCGCCTTCGTCGGCTGAGCCGTCGCCGTCGAGGACAACGAGAGCAGCAGCAGGTACAGCACCACGCACCACGGCGACGCGTGCAAGCCCCATTGCCGCGGCGAGGCTATCGTCATGATGAAAGGAGAAACGAGACGTTTTGGAAATTAATACTATCTTGCTTTCAATAAGAATCTCTCGATAATTTCCTATGCGCTTAAGCGTGGCACAATATACACAAACGGTTTGCTGGGAAAAATAACAAAACCATGAGAGTCGTAACTTCGAAGGGACGGAAAGCAACAGGTTCTATCATGGTTGAGTTGCGTTGTATGTATCTGCTCTGCAGCCACACTGTGGCACGACTTGGCTTGGAAAAACGGAGAGCGGGGGTATAGAAGAGAGGGGAGCAGGGGAGGTTGAGATGAGCGAGGCGCTGTGGCCGTGCCGTGCCATGCCGTAACGTGCTATGAGAGTTTTGCTCAATTCCGCGGAATCGCGGTTCGTTTTATTATCGCCACGTGGCTCGCCTTCGATCGCGAGAACCGCGATCTGTTTTATTTTTCTCACAAAGTTCATGACAAATTTAGTTAAGTTCTGTAAGGTGCTGCCCGTGGGCAAAAATAAAACCCATTTGGGCCTGGCATGCGTTAGGGAGGCATCAACCCTAAACACCTTGCCTCTGTGTGTTTAGGGTTGATGCATCCCTAACGCATGCCCTTGCCATAAGGGTTTTATTTTTGCCCGCGGGCAAGGCAGTACATGTGATCCACTAAGCTTAACTAGCTTTCTCTTAAAAAATGTGGGAACAATAAAACAAATCGCGCTTCCCACGATCAAAGGCATGCCACGTGGCGAAAATAAAACAAACCGCGGTTACACGAAAATGACCAAAACTCTCACGTGCTATGCTGTTCTCTTGCGGTGGGTGTGCCACGTGAAAAGCGAAGCGAACGTGCGCGCTTCCAGCAAAATCGTTGGAATTTTTCCCTGACAGCTTGAAGAGTCGGTCGATCACTATTCGGTAATTCTCGGTGTCCCTGAGCGAGGTTACACAGCCTGGAGACACAGGCAATGAAATTGTATTCCTGGATCCGACATCAGTGTATGTTTTCCACACTCAGAATGTCCCGATCTGACATGTATTCACTTCTGGAAAATGAAAATTGAAGCGAACGTGGGCGCTCCGCGCCGTTTTTACATTCGATCAATTAAGTGTTGGAAATATGGCGGAACATCGATCGATATTCGGGTGTCCTGGTTTGGTGTAAGTGCAGCCATGAGTGAGGAGGAACACAGGTTGGAGCCTGAAAATGGTGCAGTTTGAATGGTGACGGGTGAGCTGAGGATTCTCATTTTAGGCCAAGAATTGTTGTACCCTTTGTCCGCTACAATCGAAATGAACCCACACCCAACGTTCAAGGTGCTGGTAGGGAGAAGGCTTCACCGACCTATGCTTGTTCTGCCTATCCTTGTTACTGGGGGGCACTCTTGTGGACATACTGTATTTCTAAAATTGCTCACGTTATACACTTTGCACATAGAATAGGACTCTGTCCTCTATCATCTTTTATAATATCTTGCAGGCAACATCTTTGTGGAAGATCTGCCACTAAAACTCAGGCTATTGTTTAGCGATTTTGGCAAGGCTGCATCATACATGCGTGTAGTATGAATAACATCTGAAATAATATCATTCACGTATAGTACATTACACCGCATACATACCGGCGTTGCACATAGTATGAGAACATTCATCAGACACGGAATTAAAAAAAGGCGAGTTTGAAGATTCCTCAATCGTGTGTCAATTATAAAAATGTATGACGCCATGCCGCTCGTTCTATAAGGGTTTGCGTAGGAGCATACCGTGCGACACGGTGACGGCACTGACGTTAAGAGGGGATGCAGAGCGGCATGCCTTGGAAGAGGCTCTGGGAGCGGCACATCCAGCCGCGGTTGAGCTCGCTCATGAGCGGCGGCTGGCGCTGGAACTGCACCACCACCAGCGACGCACAGCTGTCCCCCGCCACCACCGTGTACTTCCGGTTCGCCACCGTCCTCGACCGCGCCTTACCGCACGCCACCGCTCCCAACGGCGTGCCGGCCGTGCAGATCTGAGAGTTTAGTGGGAGAGGGGGGGAGGGAGTGAGTGAGGAGGGAGGAAAAGTGCAAGATTTGAGCAATACTTGATGTGCCTTGTAAGGTGAGTGTTGCATGTGGCGTTTGGCACAAGTTGATGCGACGTAGCATGACTTGAAACGAGTTGTCACCTCGGAGGCAGTGGCTTTCCCACAACCACCCCCCATAGCGCCACCCTACCTCTGAGCCAGTGAGCGCGCTGAGTGTGTCGCAGTTAATGCCGGGGACTGCTTCTTGTACGCTCCCTAGCGCCACACCCTCCTATTCGCTTTCCCATAGCCACCCCCCATAGCCAACCCCCATAGCCACCCCCCATAGCGCCACCCTACCTCTGAGCCGGTGAGTGTGCTGAGGGAGTCGCAGTTGATGCCGGGGTTGAGGCGGTAGAGGTCGAGCCAGGAGAGGCCGTATGATGCCACGATGCTGGCGCAGGTGACCCACTCGCTGACTGGCTGGTACTCCGTGCAGAGATTGTAGTCCGCTGCTCCTGACACCGCGTCCCCCACTTGGATGCAGATCTGTGAGAGTGGGAAATAGGAAGACGGTGAGTCACTGGCTGGTGATCCGTGCACTGTTTTGAGACGTCTCAAAACCCGTCACTGGCTCGTAGTCCGTGCACGGGTTGTAGCCCGCTGCTCCTGACTCTGCGTCCCCCACACATGAATGAAGATCCGCGGAGGGAGAGGGGAAGGGGACGAGGGAGGCGAGGAGAGAAGAAGAGGAGAAGAGGGGAGGGGAGAAGAGGAGAGGGTAGAGGGGGGGGGGGGGCAGGTTCAGTATTGATTGCTGGTCAAGCAATCTGTGCCGTGCTGCAATTCACTGCTCCTAACATCACGTCACCCACTCGTGTGATAAGTTGATGTTTGAGTGGACTCAAAAATCGACTCAATCTGTGCGCGTGTTGTGGTCCGCTGCTGCTAACATCGCGTCACCCACTCCCCACCAGTTTTGGCTCGACTCAAAAGGTGAGTTTTGAGTAGACTCAAAAGCAATCTGTGTGCGTGTGTTGTAGTCCGCTGCTGCTAACATCGCTTCACCCACTCCCCACCGCTCGCCTCACGTGCTGGTTGGCATGTAGATTGTTTTTGAGAATTTTCAATAACAATCTCAAGCAATCTGTGCGCGTGTTGTGGTCCGCTGCTGCTAACAACGCGTCACCCACTCCCCACCGCTCACCTCACCTGCTGGTTGGGCATGAATGCTGAACAGTCAAGGCTCGGGTTGATGGTCGTGACGTCGATGCTACAGTGCTGAAAGCCCATGATTCTACAACCCCACACCCCCCCACTCCCTTTTCTGCTGCACCAACAGACCCACTCCCCACAGCTCTCCTCACCTGCTGGTTGGGAGTGAGGCTTGAGCAGTCAAGGCTGGGGTTGATGGTCGTTACGTCGATGCCAAAGAGATTGTTTATGGGATTGCAGCTCTTGGCTGCTGCATCCGCCTGACAGACGGGGAGGGGAGCAAGGAGAGGGGCGCAAGGGGAGGGAGAGGGGAGAGAGCAGGAAAGGAGGGTGAAGGCGGGGAAGGAAAGAAGTGAGTGTGGCTGGTTGTGTGTGCGTGCAGATAGAGGAGGGGGAGAGTGTGGGTGAGAGTGGGTGAGAGTGGGTGAGAGGCGGAGAGTGACATTGTAGCTGGGTGAGATGTAACAGACCTGAGAGATGTGTAATAGATCTGGGTGACATGTAACGCACCTGGGTGACAGTGTAGCGCACGCGGCACACTTGCGCAGAGGCGGGGATGGAGATGTTGAGCACTTGACCCGCCTTGAGATTGTCACAGTCCACTCCCTGTGGTAGGGGGGTGTTGAGGTTGGAGGGGGAGAGGAGAATAGATCGGGGAAAGGGATAGGGAAGGTGAGCAGGGATGGAAGGATGGAGACGGGATGTTGGGAGCAAACGCGAAACTGCTGTTATGCCTCTGCTCACTCTGACTGTTCTCACTCCTCTTACCTCATTCTGCTGCAGGAACTGCTCCTGGGTGAGGCCGATGAAGCCGTAGATGGCAGCGCACGTCTCCCCCCCCTGCACTGTGTACGTCCTCTGGACTGCTGGCGCTGCTCTCGTTGACATCAGCGCCATGCCAGGGATGGGATGGGATGGGATGGGATGGGATGGGATGGGATGGGATGGGATGGGATGGGATGGGATGGGATGGGATGGGATGGGATGGGGTGGGGTGGGGTAGGATGGGATGGGATAGTAACTGGTGTCAAACTGTGATCGTGCATATGATGCCGACGAGTGAAACAGCAGCAGTGCAAGGCATGTTTGAATAGCATCCATGATTTGACACATGCCATGTGATGGATGGATAGGATGTGTGGAATGGGATGTGTGGAATGGGATGTGTGGAATGGGATGTGTGGAATGGGATGTGTGGAATGGGACGCCAAAGCCTCACCAATAGGATGTGCGCCTTCCACAGAAAACCCCAAAGCCTCATCAGGCACACAGGTGGTCTGGCCGGAGGCGAGCACACTGGGCTTGTAGTTGGGCGGGCAGAGGCCTTCCTCCCAGCCCCACTCTCCCCTCCCTCCTCCGAAAACATGCAACGTTCCCCCTAGCCTCACCAGGAACGCATGTAATTTGGCCAGAGGCGAGCACGCTGGGCTTGTAGTTGGGCGGGCAAATGCACGAGTAGCCGCCGTCGCCGCTGTTGACGCACTGCCCCACGGTGCAGGGGTTGGTTGGTAGCACACTGCACACGTCGACTGTGTGGGCGGGAGTGAAGGGACAGAGGGGAAGGAGATTGGGGATGAGAGAGGGATGGGGGAAATGAGACAGAGTAGGTGGTGTTTGGTGCTGTTTGGTGCTGAAATGCACTGCCCCACGTCGCAGGGGTTGTTGGGCAGCACAGCACACTGCAGACGGCCACCAAGCGCACCTTCCCAAGCCTAGCCCCTGAGCAGCAAAACAGCAAAAGCGTTCCCACTGGGGAGCTCAGAGTCAAGCCACCCCAGTGGGGGTGGGTCAAAGAAATCGTCCCTTCTCACTGATGGTGCATTCCATTGGGGTGACTTGACTCTGAGCACCAATGAGAAGCGTTCCCAATGAGAAGCGTTCCCACTGGGGAGCTCAGAGTCAAGCCACCCCAGTGGGTCAAAGCACCCCAATGGGTCAAAGCACCCCAATGGGTCAAAGCACCCCAATGGGTCAAGCCACCCCAATAGGTCAAAGAAACCGTTCCTTCTCACTTACGGTGCATGCGGGTGTACCGTCACGGTTGACAGCGGTTGCACGCTAGTCCGTGCACTCTCATACCAAGAGCGCATAGCAACCCAAGAGACAAAAGGTTAACAAAAGCAACCCTTCCATCCTGCAGACAGGGGACCACTCACCAACTGTGCAGGTGGGTGTGCCGTCGCGGTTGACAGCGGGAACAAGCAGGTCCAAGCACAGACACGTGTACTCGCCGTTGCCACTCTGGTCTGCCACACACGTGCCCCCCCCACACGGCGATGTGCTGCAGGGGTTCGTGCTCTGGGGGACTGGGGAGATGGTGCAGGGTGGGGAGAGGGCAAGGGGGGAAATGGTGGGGAATGACGTGATGCGTGCCGTAAGCCACACACGTGCCCCCCCCACACGGCGATGTGCCACAGGGGTCCGCGGTCAGGGGGACTGGGGCGAGATGGCATGGGTGGGGTGGGGAGGGAGGGGGAAGAAGCAGGCGTTATGGATCAAACACTTGCCCCCCCCACAGGGTGACGTGCCACAGGGGTCCGCGGTCAGGGGGACTGGCGAGGCGGTGTGGGTGTGGTGGGGAGAGAGGAGGGAAGAAGGAAAGAAGGAGATTTTTCATGAAGGGTGACGCTTCTTGTCGATCACACACTAACGGACCCACACGGCGATGTGCTGCCGGGGTCCGTGCTCTGGGGGACTGGCGAGATGGCATGAGTGGATAGAGTAAGGAGGAGAGGGGAGGAACTGGGGAAACGCGAGGGTAAGGAGAGGGTTGGATGCTATTCACCAGAAGAATAAGAAAGAACGAAACAAAGAATGAAAGAAATGAAGATAGGAAGAAAGAAAGAGAAAGAAACCAAGTCCACACCATTTCACATAATGTAGAGCCCTTTAGGGCCCCTCGCTCACTCACCTCTCACAACGGGATAGAGCCCTCTAGGGCCTCTCGCTCACTCACCTCTCACAACGGGATAGAGCCCTCTAGGGCCCCTCGCTCACTCACCTCTCACAACGGGATAGAGCCCTCTAGGGCCCCTCGCTCACTCACCTCTCACAACGGGATAGAGCCCTCTAGGGCCCCTCGCTCACTCACCGTTCACAATGGGGTACAACCCGCGGTTGACCAGCATGCCGCACGTGCCAAACAGCACACTCAAGTTTTCACTTTGGGAACAGGGCGCCCCACTCACCATTCACAACGGGGTACAGCCCGCGGTTCACCAGCATGCCGCACGTGCCGAACGCGTCCCCTTCCATCCGTATCCTCATGTACCCGCCCTCGCCCCACTGCGCCCCCCAGCTGTTCTTCAAAATAAAGTAGTTATTCCAGCTGCCCGGGGAGTCATAGTTATACCCCACGGCCAGCATCACGTGGTCCAGCAGCCCCGTGTTGTTGGTCGCCGTGGCTGTGCCATTTCCGCTGGATCCTTGGCCCTGCGAGTTCCCCCAGACCTTCCCTGTTTGGCTGTAGCAGTCCCAGCCCTGGTAGATGCCTTGCTGCGATGGGGGGGAAGAAGGGAAGGAGGGAGGGAGGGAGGGGGGGAGGGGATGAGGTAAGGAAGAGCTCTTGAAAAATGAGCGTCAGCAGTAGCAGCAGCAGCAGCAGCAGCAGCAGCAGCAGCAGCAGCAGCAGCAGCAGCACCGAGTCACCGAGTAGTCCATAAAGTCCTGCGCAGAGGCGCGGATGGTGAGGGCGTGGAGGCGCGGATGGTGAGGGCGCAGAGGCGCGGATGGTTCTTAAAGCTCTCTATGACTATGAGTGCCCTCTACCCAACTCACGGAGTAGTCGATAAAGTCCTGCGCGGTGGCGCGGATGGTGACGATGACGGGTTGCTTCTGCAGCGCGAGAATGAGCCCCAGCGGTCCCGGCAGTGGCACCTGCTCGTACATCGAGATGTTCCACTTGTCCTGAGAGTGGTGGAGAGGGGTGGTAAGGGGTGACGAGGAAGGGAAAGCACACGGTAAGGAAGAATCACCAGCCCCAGAGTCCCCGGCAGTGGCACCTGCTGTAAATCGAGATGTTGTAGAAGTCCTGAGAGCGGTGGGGTCAGGGGCGGTAGGGGAGGGAAATCACAGCTGGTTGGGAAGAGCGAGCAGCATGAGACATGCGTTGCACAGTGGCCCCGGACCCGGTAGTGGCACCTGCTGCACCTGCTGTGGCTCCGGTGCTGTACGTATAACTAGCTTCTCATCATCCTGTCCCGTCCCATCACAATTGCAAATATCGCAAATATCTTCCCTCTTCCCATTCCCCCTCCCTCCGTCTCTCACCATGCCTTTCTTCGCATTGCACCTCCCGTTGGCCCCCGTGTAAGCATAGCCCGCCTCATCCTGCAGCCCGTTCTTCACGGCATACTGCAGGGCAGCCTCGGGGTACCCCCCCCGGCACGAGGCAGCAGCGCCCGTACAGTCCACCAGCTGCTGCACCGACAGCCGCGTGCCGCTGGGGAAGGCGTCTGGGTCTGCGACTAGAGCATACGCGCCCTGCACCGCCCGCGCTGCTGCATACGCCCAGCAGGAACCTGGGAAGGACAGCGGATGTGGGACAGGAGGGGGCGACGCAGGTCAAGCGCAGTCAACGCAGCGCAAGAGTGCACGCCAGCAGCAGTTCGTGCAGGTCAGCTGCAGATCGAAAGCATAACAGTCAACGGGGGTCAACATCAGTCAACGGGGGTCAACAGCACGCACCGCAGTTGCCCTGGTCGAACTCATGCGTGAACAGCGGGCGGTGGTCCATGCTCTTAATGCATCCCATCCCAGCAAACCAGGTCAGCAGCAGTCAACGAAAGTCAAGGGCAGTCAGCGAAAGTTAAGGCAAGTCTACACGCACCGCAGTTGCCCTGGTCGAACTTATCATCAGGCGTGAACAGCGAGCGGTGGTCCACGCTCTTATTGAAATCCCAGCTCAGCGTCTGGGATGTTGCATCGAGCGTGAGACCCACGGTGAGGTAGCGCGAGACACTGTTGAGATTGGCCAGCTTGGCGAGGTCCTTTGTGGTGGGGGGCACGTACCCCAGTCTGCGGTCTGGCGGTGGGCAGAGGGGAGGCACAGCGAGAGAAGAGCGAGATAAGAGGAATTGGTGTAAACACACATGGGCAGCTTGGCGAGGTCCTTGGCCGTGGGGGGGTCGTAGCCCAGTCTGCGGTCTGGCGGTGGGGAAGGGGGAGGGTGGAAGGGCAGGGAGGTGAGGTAGCGCTACACCGTGTTCAGATTGGCCAGCTTGGCCAGGTCCTTGGCCGTGGGGGCACGTAGCCCAGCCTGCGGTCTGGCGGTGGGGAGGGGGGAAAGGGGCAGCGAGGGTAGATGGGGAGGAGGGGATAGGAGGGGAAGGAGATGAGAAGAGGGAGAGAAGAGTTGACATGAGTGGCGGTGTTCAGATTGGCCAGCTTGGCGAGGTTCTTGGTGGTGGGGGGGACGTAGCCCAGTCTGTGGTCTGCCGGCAGGGGGAGGAGGAAGGGGGAGGGAGGAGATGGCAGGGGTTAGAAGAGGGGGGAAGCGGAAGACAATAGTTGACGTGAGTGAGGGGGCCACGTAACCCAGGTTGGGGTCTGTCTGTGGAGTGAGAGAAGGAGGAAATGGCAGAGCACCTACAGAGGCAGCAGCATTCCTTCCCCCCAAGCTAGCTTCCATGCCCACGCCGCCCTCCTGATACTCTCTTGCGGCCGTGCCACAGCTCTCCTGATCCTCCTGGCGACTTCCTTCCTATGTCGCCTCCTGCATAAATTCACGTCACAATTCCCCTGCACACCGTTGATAACCGTCACCCTATGCGCCTTAGCCCATACCACCGCACTCCACCCCTCGTTGTGTCCCTGCCTGACTCTCACCAACGGTTGTGGTGTTCCCGCGTGCGCTGTTCCCCTTGCTCGTCCCGTGCCCTATCCTTCCGCCTCCCGCCGCCCGCCGAATCAGCTTCTGCACGCGCCGCTTCACCGTCGCGAGCCACCGGCGCGCCGCCGCCGCGAACGCGGCTTGAGTTAAGTACGACGCGCGTTTGGGCGGCTTGTCGACGCCCGTGAGGTCCGCTCTTCCCATCAGCGGCGCGAGGGCTTTAATCTCCGCGCGCGCCTTCGCGTCCACCGCCAGGGCCGAGAGGTCCGATGCCGCTGCGCCTGCTGTAGCGTCGACAGAGAACGCGATGCTGGCGGAGTCCGCTTTTGTCATTGTAGCGAGAGTGACTGTGATGAGTGTGGGGATGGGTGGTGGGGCGGGGAGGGGGAGGGAAAGAAGAAAACAGGGGAGGGAGAAAAGCGGAGGACGTTGAAAAAACGAGCGGAATAGTATTGGAACGTTGCAGATTTCCTTTTCCGCGAGGTTACGGTACTAGGCCTGGGTTTGGCGAGGTGTGCGATGCGATGTCACGCGGTGACAACCCCACGTCAGCATGATAGGCCGCTCACCTATCGGCCGGCCAGAGGCAGCGGGGCCGACAGCGATGATCAGTAAGACTGCTGCTAGTCGAAGCGCGTGGGCTGGAATCGCCGAGCCGCGACAATCCATGGTGTCAGAAGCCGCACACCTTCCTCTATTGCGGCTTTGTGGCCTCGTTCGCGAGTCGCGCTTCTATAGTATAGAGGGCTCGATCGATTCGCGCGCGGTACGGGTGCTGACAGTTGCCAAGGTGGAACCACGTAGTATAAGCGAAGCCAGCTGGGCGGTTAGAGGAAGAAGCCTTGAGAGGTGGACGGTTAGAAGAAGAAGAAACTCGAGAGAGATAACCGCGCAATGATGCAAACTCGATCGACGAGCGAATATCAGGACGTCTAAACTTGTGAGGAGCGACATTTCAATTAGTTGAACGCTATTCAATTTGTACTACGGGTTCACCTGCGACTACTATTTTTCCTGCCTATCGTATGAAGCTCCTTGCTGCTCGAGCTGCGTTGTACTTTGAACAGTGGAATTCCCTAGATTCATAGCAGCCTTCGCTAGGCGGTGCGGTGCGGTGCGGATCCGTGGTGGAGTGTTGTGCACTTTTGTCACTACTAGTGTCTAGCGGCTGAGCAGGGAGATAGGGGACCGACAACAGCGGGTTTGGCGGCAGGGCAGAACAGCAGGTCGGTTTGGGTGTGACCGTGTGACCTTCGCGAAACACCGAACGACGAAAAGGAGGGAGGGATACGACGAAGAGGAGCCCACCACTCGCACACCGCGAGGTTTGGTCGGTTCGGGTGAACGCGCAACCTGCCAGGAAAGGTTTTGGTGGGAGGGCTGGCTTGGCATTGGTTTAGAAGTATGTTTTTGGGTCAGTACGTACCGCAAGACCAGCTTCGGACGGGCGATGGGTTTCGCTGAAAACACAGCCGCCAGGTTCGAAACAATCACGAAGGTCTGGTTTCGCGAAGCCCCGTTGCGAGAAGATATGATAGCGCGCAAGGGCGGCGCCAATAAAAAACCAGATATTCGACCAGTTCAGTGGAGAAAAGGTTCGGTGGCCAAACTGCAAGGCAAACCAGTTTGTACAAAGACCTTTAACATGAATACAATCTACATTACAATTGACAAATGTAATATGCATCGCCAGCAGGCAGAGTACTTTAGGTGAGTCTCTTGGAATCAAAAAGTGGTGCGCTCTGCAAATTGGCATGCTATGGCACATGGTGCGATGCAGCATTGGGACTAAGAGGGGATGCAGAGGGGCATGCCAGCGAATAGGCTCTGGGAGCGGCACATCCAGCCACGGTTGAGGTCGCTCATGAGCGACGGCTGGCGCTGGAACTGCACCACCACCAGCGACGCACAGCTGTCCCCCGCCACCACCGTGTACTTCCGGTTCGCCACCGTCCTCGACCGCGCCTTACCGCATGCCACCGCTCCCAATGGCGTGCCGGCGATGCAGATCTGGCGGGTTGGGGAAGGGTGGACAGGAGGGGAAGGGGGGGAAGGGGAAGGGGGAGGGGGATGTCGGGGTTGGTGGCGAGCGAGGAGATGGTGTTGCAGCTGATGTCGGGGTTGAGGCGATAGAGGTCGCGCCAAGAGATGCCCCACCAGTTGAACCCATTCCCTCAAGCCACCCGCTAGCACCACACCCCCAGAGCCACACACCCAGAGCCACACGCCCAGAGCCACACGCCCAGAGCCACACGCCCAGAGCCACACGCCCAGAGCCACACGCCCAGAGCCACACGCCCAGAGCCACACGCCCAGAGCCACACGCCCAGAGCCACACGCCCAGAGCCACACGCCCAGAGCCACACGCCCAGAGCCACACGCCCAGAGCCACACGCCCAGAGCCACACGCCCAGAGCCACACGCCCAGAGCCACACGCCCAGAGCCACACTCTCCCATGGTTATACCTCTGAGCTGGTGAGTGAGCCGATGGTATCGCAGTTGAGGCCGGGTTGAGGCGGTAGAGGTCGAGCCACGAGAGGCCCCACCAATCAACTGCGTTGGAACACGTGACCCACTCGTTGGCCGCCACGTAATTGGTGCAGAGGTTGTAGTCCGCTACTCCTGACACGGCATCGCCCACCTGAATGCAGATCTGCAGTGGGGATAGAGAGAGGTTGAGGGGCATGGAGCGCGTTGGCACACGTGACCCACTCGTTGGCCGCCACGTAGTTGGTGCAAAGGTTGTAGTCCGCTACTCCTGACACCGCGTCCCCGACTTGGATGCAGATCTGTGGAAGGGAGGGGAGGAGAGGGGTGCAGGTAGTTCACTCGCTGGCCGCCACATAGATGGGTGCAGAGGTTGTAGTCCGCTACTCCTGACACCGCGTCCCCCATGCAGATCTGCAGAGGTCGAGGGAGAGAGGAGAAGAGGAGAGGAGGAGAGGAGAAGAGAAGGAGAGGGTAAGAGAGGCGAGAGAGGAGATGGGAGCACGTGAGCCAATCGCTGACGTGCTGACCCCCACCCTCACGTGCTCCCATCTCCTC